CTTTTTTTCTTTAGATTATAATATAAACTATAATTATTATTAATATTTAAAATAAAGCATTTAGAAGTAATAGAAATGGATCAAAATCAAATCATAGAGCAAGAGTTGGAACCTATAGCTACGATTTCATATATAAAGCATTTGTTTATAAAAAGATATAGGTTAATGAAGATATTTAATTTAGTGCAAGCTGTATTAGTATTAATAATTGTTGCAATGATTATAATAAGAGATCATTGGAAATTGGTAATTAATTATTTATAACTTATTTATATATACATTTATATTAATATAGTTTTTTATAGTATTATATTATAATAGCGATTGCTGGGATATTCGAATTTATAACAACTGCAGTAATATTTCAAATATTAATTATATCCATGTGGCCAATACTATTTAATTTAGATAAAACAAGTTTCTCAAAGTATAATTTATTGGGAAAAGATATTATTGCAGTAACAAAATCAGATGAAAAAAATAAATGTAGTTATATTTTAAGTAAAGATATTTTAGCGAGACCCACACACTCATTATCAATACCGATCGAAATGCAAGATAGTACCCCAATATCCACAATACCAGTGGAAAATGATATCATTGTAAACAATGATAGTATTCATGTTATACTATCAAATATAAATATTTCAATTAAATCTAATAGTATTTTACCTTCTGTAAGATTTTTATAAATTATTTGATGATAAAATTAATTTTTTAAAAAAGTATTCATATTAATATAATATTTTTTATTAGATTGTTGAAGAGTATAAAAAAAAGGTTTTGGTGAACTTGTACAAATATGAAACATTTAACAGTGAAGTCAGTATTAATAATAGCGGGTCATCATTTATTTATTATGTAGGCGATAGCAATAAATTAAAAAAAATAAAAAAGATTTTTATTTCAATTTTATCAGTATTATTCTTCTTTTCGTCATTACACTATAAATCCATCCATAGTAATTTAAAATTTAAAAATGTAATATATTATAAAACAATAGATGTCGATAAAGAAGCATTAATAAAAGAAATGAAAAAGGACCATGAACTTTCCAATATAGTAAATCCAGCAATAGAAAATAGTTGTAATGAATCTTTTAAAGAAATTTTAAACAATATCAATAATGATAATAATAATAATAATAAAGTCCAAAATGATATAATAGATAAAAATGAAGATAAAAGTAATAATATTTGTGGTGGAGATATCGAATTAAATGTTATAAATGATAGTGCATCAAATATAACAATTCCTGTAGAAGTTGTAATTGTTTAATAAAATAAATTATTAAAAAAAAAAAGTTATTATAAATAAATAAATAAATAAAATAAAAAAAACATTATCTGTTATTTAAATTATATTTGGTATATTGTGATTTTTATTGTGATGATTTTATATTGATATATTAATAACCCAACATATCTTCGATACCATCTTCATCTTCATCTGGAAAATCTGATTTTAAATCTTGAGGTTCTAAATCCTCGCCATATTGAATGGAGTTATCAATATGTTGTAATAAAACATTTAAACTTTCTTGATCGGTTATATCCAATGGTAAAAAACCTACTAAACTAAAATCTTCAAGCTGTTTGAAATATAATTTAAAAGATTAATAAATGTTTTTTATTTTCTTAAAATTTTTTTTTTTTTTTTTTTTTTTTTTTTTTTTGAACATACCAATGAACCTATTGGTTTATTCATTTTATGATACCTATTATGAGTTTCTAAATTTAATTCCTCTACTAAATTATGAACTTCTAAATCTAAAAACCTTAAAATAAATAATGAACAATTAGTATTATGAAAAGAAATAAAATTCATAAATAAATAAATAAATAATTACTTTTCAATTTCTCTATATTGATCTGAACTTTTTAAAACATCCACTTTGGTTAAAACATTAATATGAGGTATTTCTAAACGGACCATTGCAGAGAGACACATAAGAGCGCCACTAATAAATTTACAGTTATCTAAAATGAATTGAGAATCTACTAAAAATACAGCACATACTCTATAACCCAATTGTTGTAAATGATCTACCAATGATCTCATTACTGGAATATGACTGTATAACTCTATTTGACCTGGACAATCTATTATTAAATAATCATCTTCATAATCGCCCAATTCTTCTGATAACCAATCCATATTCTCTATTAGATATTCCATTGCATATACTAAACCTCCATTTGGACCATACTGTAATTCATCCATAACTTCGTCTACTGTAACTAAATTTTTGATATCGATTGAAACTGGATATTCAAATACCTCTGCTGCTGGATCTAAATTTACAACATGTACTGATCTCTTAATTTCTTCGCAATATTTTCTCATTGTATCGCAATATGTAGACTGTAGTTTTTAATATGTTAGTATATATGACAATATTGCGTAATAAGCTGTATATATGTATATTACTTTTCCACTACCTGCTGGACCCATAACTAATTGTGCATGTTTACCCATATTGTTATTTTATGTGTATATATATTTATATTAAAAGATGTCTCGTTTTGTTTAAAAAAAAAATGAAAAAAAAATTAAAAAAAATAAATTTAAAAATTAAAAATTAAAAAAAAATAATAAAAAATAATAAAAAAAAAATTAAAATTAAAAAATAAAAAAAAAAAACGAATAAAGCAATTTTATTTGATTTGTTTCCAATTAATTAATATAATTAATTATTTTAGTTATTGTTTTTTATTCTTTTGAAAATTATTAAACTGATGATATTTATGGTTGAGTCGTCTTGAATTGTCAATAAGGATTTATCCAAAAAGTCCAGTGGTTTAAATTCGTATTCGAAACCATATTTTTTTGCAGTCTCTAAAAGATAGGCATCGGTCTGCGATGCTCTTGACTGATAACAAATTATGAACCTTGAGTTGTCGTTTTGCTTTAATAGTTGTGATACGGTGATGAACAATGGTTCGATGCCAATTCTCCAATAAACAATATCGGAGCCCATAATAACGTCATATCCATTCGAGTCGCTGGTGCTAACTAAACAATTCTCTATATCGGTTTTATCACCCCAATCTAATTTCATACACTTGCATCCATATCCATCTTGAGTGGATTCAATACAATTTCTATCCAATAGTTCCAACACGATTTCATTGTTGTCTGTAAGTGTAATATCGTTACATCCCAATTTTGCTAAAAATAACCCACAAACACCCACACCCGATCCCACCTCTAAAACTTTTTTATCTTTATATTCCTCTATATTCTTTATAATAAATTGTGATAAAACCTGTGCTGATATCCAAATAGTTTGACCAGTTAAATCAAAGTCAGCTAAAAATAAAAATATAAAAAAATAAAAAAAATAAAAAAATGAAAAATAAAAAAAATGCAATAAATAATTAGTATTTTTCTCTTCAAGACCACCAGTATTTTTTTTTTTTTTTTATATTTTTATATATACACACTTGATGCGGAATCTAATGTATTTAATTTAATTGAAACACCAAAATAGTCTATGGTCTTTTGCACATATGACTTATTAAGAAATAAATCTCCAACGTCTACATCATCATTTTCCATAATTTAATATTTTATAATATATTTCTCTGAAAAATAATAAATAATTTAGTTGAAATTATATTTCTATAATTTTATCCAAAGTTTTACTAAAAAAATAGAAAAATATTTTTTTTTTTTTTTAATTTTTTTAAATTTTTTTTTATTTTTATTTTTATAAAATTTAAAATAAAATTATTTTTTAAATAATAAAAAAAAAATATTTCATTTTTAAATAATTATTAAAAAATATAAAATCATCACACATATAAATAATGACTACCCAAGGTAAATAAATAAATATAAATAACTACAGATAAATACAAATAAATAAAATATTAATTTTTTTTTTTTTTTTTTTTTTTTTTTTTTTATATTTATTAAATTAAATAGAACTTAAATTTAAATGGAATATTAATAATTTAATTGATAAAACCAGATTTTCAAAAGAAGAAGAAAAACCAATTGAGTTATCAAATGGTGATTTAACAGCAACTAGAAAAGAAAGAGTTAGAGGGGATGATCCCCCCCCAGTCAGAATTTTAGCAGATAATTATATTTCATTCGATAATAATCAAACCTCAGTAGAATGGACAGTTCAAGTTGGTTTCACTCATGGATTTATTGAAGTTGGTATCACTGATCCATCATCAAATAAAACTTATTTATTCAAAGGATTTAAAAATGAAGCTCAAGAGGAGGATGGTCAAAATTTGAAATCATTCCAATTTGGTGAAACTTTTACAACTGGTGATAAAATTAAAATCGTTTTAGAGTTAACCGCCTCAAAAACTTTGGCTTTACATTTATATAAAAATAACAGCTTATTAGGTACACCATTCGAAACTCAATTTAATGAAAATAGTAAATATTATCCATTTGTTGGTTTAAATGATAATGGAGATCAAATTACAATTGTTGTTTAAATAATACATAGTTATAATAATAATAATAATAATAATAGAAATAAAAAAAGTATAAATATATAAATTTAAATAGTTAAAATATAATAATAAATAGTTTTCAATATATTGGAATAAAAATCTTACAAAATATATGTAAATAAATAATATTTTAAAAAAAAAAAAAAAATTCTCACCTAAAAGATCAATAATCGTGTATTTTTATTTATAATAGAGGATATTTTTTGTAATTGTTTTGTTATTAGATATTAGTTTAATTATATATATAAATATTTTTGTAGTTTTTTTATTTAACACATATCTATTTTCATTTTTTGGTAAATCTAAATTTTTAAAAGATTAACACAACCACTTTTTTTTATTAATACATTTTAATTAAATTATTTTTTAGATATCTTTATAACTTTTTAAAGTTAAAACAAGTTTAACAATAAATAATAGTTAAGTGGATATATTAAATAATTAAATAATTAAATAATTAAATAATTAAATAATTAAAAAAAAAAAACTATTTAATATTTTTTTAATTTAATATTAACAATATATGTTACCTTTAAAAAATGATTACTATTATATGTATAATAATAGTTATAACTATTTATATAGTCAGAAGTCAGGTAATTTCTTTTTTTTTTAAACATTAGTTTTTATTTTAAATACTAATTTTTTTTATTTACTTTATTTAAATCAGTTAATATTTAATCCAGATAAACATGAAAAAAGTATAAAGGGTCCAAAACCATTACCATTATTAGGAAACTTACATCAAGCAGGTGGAGATTTACCAATTAATGTTTTTACAAATTTATCACTAAAGTTTAATCATATTTATCGTATGTGGATGGGTGATATGTACACAGTGGTAATTAGTGATCCTAAAATTTTAAGAGAAGTATTTGTAGATAATTTTGAAAATTTTAAAGATAGACCACTAAGTGCTAAAATTCAATTTGGTAATAATTATCATGGTACATCAATGGGATGTGGGGCATATTGGGACAATAATAGAGATGTGGTATCTCGGGCATTAAGAAAATCAAACAATAAAGAAATCTATGACTTTGTGAATATTAAAGTTGCAGATTATCTAAGTATGATTGAAGAAAAGTTTATAGATTCAGATAATATAGATAAAAAAACAAAAGAGAAATTCATCATTTTAAATAAACCTAGATTCTACTACCAAAGATACACAATTTCAATCATGTACAAATTTATCTTTAATGAGAATTTAAGCTTTTCAGATGACGAAGAGAATGTAAAACAACTAAAGGAAATATTAATCAAAATCAAAGATATCTTTAAAATATTTTCAAATGTGCATATTATAGATTTTATCAGAGTTTTACAGCCATTATATTTTAAATACTTAACCTACAAAAACAAAACCTTCCCAAGCTATTTCAAGTATATCTACAACAAATATCAAGATCAATTAAAGACAATGAAGTTTGATGAAAATGATGAAGTGAATAGAAAGAGTTCAAAGCATTTGTTGGAACATTTAATTTATGAATATGGTAAAGATAATCCCACAAATAGCGAAGTACAAAGTATATTGACCTCATCACTCGATTTCTTTTTAGCTGGAACAGATACAACTGCCTCCACTCTAGAATGGTTAACTTTAAAGCTCATCAATCATCAAGACATACAATGGAGAATATATAATGAAATTAAATCATTAAATAAACCAGAAATCAAAGCTCAAGATAAAATTGATACACCTCTTTTAAACAGTTTCATTAAAGAAACCTCAAGACTATTCCCAGGTGTTCCATTTGGTTTACCTCATACCGCAACTGATGATATAATCATTGATAATCAATATTTCTTTCCAAAAGGTGCTCAAATATTAATAAACTTTAGAGGTATTGCTTATAATGAAAGTTTATTTAAAGATGCAAAAACATTCAACCCAGAAAGATTTATAAATAATAAAAAAGAAAATGAATTCTATATGCCTTTTGGTAAGTATACTTACATTAATGTTTTAGTATATTAATAATTATTTAAAACTAACACACTTTACATTACACTATAGGTTTGGGTCCAAGAAATTGTCCAGGTCAATTACTTTCCCAAGAAGAAATATATTGTTTAATTTCAAATTTAATTTTAAATTATAGGTTTGAATCAGTTGATGGTAAACCATTACCAGAAATAGAAAAGCTATCTTTAACTTTAAATCCAAAAGGTTTTAAAAGAATTAAAATGGTTAAAAGAAATAATTAATAAAATATATTAACCCTTGGCCCTTAAATTGTTAGAATGAGATCCTTTTTTTTTTTTAAAAAATTGAAAAAGTGGTTTTTTTATTATTTATAAAATTTTGCATTCCATACTTCAGGGGTTAAAAATTAATAAGATTTTTTGTTTTTATTTAAAAAATATGGCTTTCCCATCCTCATAAATTTTTTTTTTTTTTTTAGATTTTATTTTTTTAAATTAATTTAAAAAAATAAATTTAATTAATTTTTTTTTTTTTTTGGATCATTTTTAAATTTATTACAAAGATGAATTTATTATTTATTTTTATATCTTTAATAATATTTTTTATAATTTATTATTATTATAAGGTAATTATATTTTTTTTTAAAATGATAAATTAAATTTGTGTTTACTAATTTTTTTTTTGATGGTCAATTAAAGTTTTTCAATTATGATAATCATAAATTAAAATTAAAAGGTCCTTTTCCATTACCAATTTTAGGTAATTTACATCAATTTGGAACCAAATCGCCTCAATTAAAATTAACTGAATATTCTCAACAGTATAAACATATATTCAGAATGTGGATGGGTGATAAATATTCAGTAATTGTTAGTGATCCTAAATTAATTAGAGAAATGTTAATCGAAAATTTTTCAGCTTTTAAAGATAGACCCTTCTCTGCAAAGTTAGCATTTGGTAATAACTATCATGGTACTACTACAGGAAACGGTGACTATTGGGATAGAAACAGAGATATCGTATCAAGAGCATTAAGAAAGTCATCAAATAAAACACTCTATGACTTTTTAAACCAAAAAGTATCAGAGTTTATGACAATGGTCGACAACAGATTTAAAGAATTCAATACATCTGGTGCAGATGAAAATGAATATATAATTTTAGAAAAACCAAGATTCCTTATTCAAAGATACACAATTTCTATCATGTACAAGTTTATCTTCAATGAAGATATCAAGTTTTCAAACGAAAATGAAGAAGATTCTAAAGAGTTAAAATTCTTTTTTAGAACAATTAAAGAAATTTTCAAGGTATTTTCAGCATCAACTTTAATTGACTTTATCAGTGTATTGCAGCCATTATATTTTCAATATTTAAAAAAAACAGATACTTTATTCCCAAAGATTTTCAGTTTTATTAACAGCAAGTATCAGCAACATTTAAGTGAAATGTCATTCGAAGGAAATGAAGTTAAAAGCAAGCCAAAGGATTTATTAGAATCACTCATCTATGAGTATGGCAAGGACAAACCAACCGAAAGCGATGTACAAAGTATCTTAACAACTTGCTTAGATTTCTTTTTAGCTGGAACTGAAACAAGCTCTACCGCAATCGAATGGATTTTATTAAATTTAATCAATCGTCCTGAATACCAAAGTAAAATTTATAGCGAACTTAAAAATCTCGATAAACAAACCATCAAAGTTCAAGATAAATTAGAAACACCATTACTAGTTGCATTCATCAAAGAAACATTAAGAATTCACCCAGTAGCACCATTTGGTTTACCACATGAATGCACTCGAAATGTAGTTATTGATAATAAGTATTTTATTCCAATGGGTTCACAGCTGCTTATAAATTTCAAAGGAATAGCATACAATGAAAACTGCTTTAAATACTCAAAAAGCTTTTACCCCGAAAGATTTATTGATTCAAAAATTGAAAATGATTCATTTTTAATATTTGGTAAATATTTATATTTTTTAATTTTTTTAAAATATTAAAATATTAACTTCTATTTCTTATAACTTTTATTTAGGAATTGGCCAAAGAAATTGTGTTGGAAATCAAATTGCTTTAGATGAAATTTATTTATTAATTTCAAATTTAATTTTAAAATATAGATTCGAATCTATCGATGGTAAAAAAATTCAAGAAATTGAAAAGTTATCTTTGACATTATATCCAAAAAAATTTAATATTAAAATTATTAAAAGGTCAAATTAATAAAATAAAAGGTTTATTGTTTTAAAAGAAATAAAGAGTAATAAAAAAATTTTATTTTTAAAATCTAAATTTTTTATTTTTATTTTTAATTTTATTTGTTTTTTTTTTTTTTTTTAGTTTTCTATATTGTTTTAATTAAATAAAACAATATATAAAAACAATGATGATAATATTAAAACAATATTAATTGGGATAAGTGATGATTCAGATGAGGATCCATCTTTTGAACTATCTGCTGAACCTTCTTTTTTACATTCAAAAGTTAATTTGGTTGTTGGTAAAGTTAATTCAGTGGTTAAATATGAAATTGTGAGATCGTCAAGATTTGTACCTTCTTTGACATCAAAGTCGGCTACATAGTTTGGTTTGGTTGCGTCTGTTTGGGTAATTTTAATTGCATTTGTGGTTGTATCAATGCTTGCTGATTTAATTGAAAGATCTGTTGGGGTTGCAACTTGGTCGAGGGTGAACTCGATACTAACTTGACTACATAAACCTTTAGTGGCTACAGCAAAATCATTGGTTGTTGTTAATGTAGTAACTTTGGTTGGTGCTTCACCGGTTGGGGTTTCTCCTTCAGTGCAAGTAAAGTCAATAGTAGTAATAGGGGTTACAGTGGTTTTCTCTTGATAAATAAATGATAAATCTTTAAGAGTACTACCAGCTAAAACATTGATTGTGTATTGATAAACTGGTTTGTCCATTGAATCTTGACGAACAGAAATTGAGCCTGCAGTTGCACCTGATGGTTCTCCTGAATATTTTGGAACAAGATCAATACTATCTGGTTTAATCTCACTAAGGAGTTTGTCAAGAGTTACTGTAACAACAATACCTTCACAATATGGTTTCTTTTGGTCATCAACAGTGGTTGGATCTGCAGCATCAGTAGCTTTGTTTACAGAAATTGCGGTAATCTTTGGAGCAGTATCATCAGTTGAAGCTGAACATTTTAAAGCTGGAACGGTTACACCAGTATCTAAACTTAGAGTAGTGGTAGCAATTTTAAATGTGGCTCCAGTAATTGAACTGTCTTCGTCCAAAACAATACCTGTTACAGTATATTTTGTTCCAGTTGTATCTGTAGTATCTGCTACTACAGTTGTTGCACTATCAGAGGAAACACCTGCAAATGTTACTTCAGGGGTTGCTGATGGTTTTTCTGATAATGTAAAACTGGCAGTAATACCTGAACATTTTCCACTAGTTGGGGTAGCTGTTGTTGCCGGTGTTGTTGTTAAAGCTGTTACCTTTATTGCACTATCATCAGCAATATTTACATTTACTATAATTTTTTTAAAAAATTAGTATTTTTTTTTTTTTTTTTTTTTTTTTAATTTTTATTTAATTTTTTTTTTTTTTATTAAACTTACAAAATGAAAATAAAGCCAATAATACCAAAACCAAATATTTATATTTTATTGTATTCATATTATATTATTTTATTTTAAATTTAAATTATTTTTTTTTTTTTTTATAATTCTATAAAACACAAATTAAAACTAAATTAACTATATCATTAAATATATTTAACTCTAGTAAACAAACAAGGAATAATTAGAAATACTTTAAAAAAAAAAAAATTTAATTTAATTTATAAAAAAAAAAAAAAAAAAAAATAATTTAAATTTAATTTTATAAAAAATAAATTATTTTATTAAAATCTTTTTTATTTTCTTTTTTTAGAAATATAATTAAAATTTAATTAAAAAAATTATTTAAAAATTTAAATAAATAAAAATTATCAAATCCATAGCTATTAAAAAGGAAAGTTGTTTTTAAATATATTAACGATATATTAAAAAAATAAGAAAAACAATTTTAGTAAAAATAAAAAAAAAAAAATTAATTTTAAATAAATTAATCTAAATTATAAAATAAAAAAAATGATACCTTATTTCTATTTTAATTTTAATCACGCGAAAGTTATTTTTTTTTTTTAAATAATTTTTTTTTTTATGGGTTAAAATTTTTTCATTGTCAGAAAGTCTCAATTATAAGTTTGCCACAATCGCACTATATGATTTGAGTATTCTTTTTATATTTTAATAATAACATACTAAAATAATTAAAATTTAACAAATATTTAATTTTAACCAGTGATGTGTATTCCATGACAATCCTTAGAATCGATATTTAAACATATCAATTTTTTTTTGGATTTAATTTAAACTTTTTAAATATTCCTCTTCACTACTTTCTTCTAAAAAATAAAATGCTTTTACATTTAATAAAAATGAAATTTGATCAAAAGGAAAATGATGAATTAAAACAAAAACTTTTAGATTTAGAAAAAAAATTGTGTAAATTAGAACCATTAATCAACAAATTACTGAATAACAAAAAGAAAAGTCACTCTCAGTGTTTGGATATTTGATTTTTTTAGGTCAATGTTACCACAGTGGATGAAAAAACTGAAAATTTTTTTTTTTTTTTTACATATAAATTTTTTGGTAATTTGGTTTTTTGGGTTTTTTTTAATTTTTTTAATTTTTTTTTATATGTAATAATTTTTTTTTTTAACTATTTAATTAATAATTCATTGTCCTCGATGTTATTATTTCTAATTTCTGGAATAACAAATAATTAAAAATGCACCTATACACTATATCATAATATTTTGATAATATTTCAAAATAAAAAGTTCCTTAATGTTTAGAATTATATCTTAAAGAATTGCTTTTCATTATCAATTGGTATTCTAATTTGTTTTTCCGAGCCATCTACGACCACTGTGGTTGCACTCATATGATTTTAATGGTACATGAATTCTATTTTATTGCTATTATCAAGTCTATTATTAAAATAACTTTTAAAAATATCTTTTGCCAAAGGTGAAACAATGTCTTAAAATTCTTGGAGTATCTACAGTTTTTTTTCAATAATTTTTTTATAATTATTCATTGTAACCTATTTGATTATTTCTAATCACTAAACTATAACTGTACATACCATTAATTCATATTATCTATATGAAAATTCCTTATTAATTTAACAGTTTTATTAAATTTTTAAGAAAAATAAAATATTTTTAAATCTAGATAATTTAAAAATATTATTATATATTATTGTTTTTTTAATGGTTTGAAATAACAAATTAGCAACCAATTAATAAAGATATTAGAAATTTATTTTATAGTTGTAAATAAAGTAAATCAGCTTTAACCTTATTGGTTTTTTGTTGTCCAAAAAGTGGAAAGGTATTGCAGATTGGCTTTCCTTCAGGTGTTTGTAAAATGATATTGTGTTATTGAAGTAGGTGGTAAAAATACGATATTAAACAACAAAATAAAATTCAAAATGTATTTTCAAAAATTAAAAGATTTTCGACAAGCAATATTTTAAGATATAAATTTAAACAGGAAATTCCTTAGATAATGTTTTAAAAAGATATCATACAATATAATGTAAAGTTGTATTTTTTGTTAATTGTTATTTAGGGATTAGAAATAATAACATTGATGTTACAATGAATAATAATATTAAAAAAAAAATTTAATATACAAAAAAAATTAAAAAAAAACCCAAAATAACCAATTTAGCACCTTGTTGTATAATAATGAATTTGTGTGTTGTCTGATTATTGAAGCCATTTTGCTAGATTAATTATCAAATGTTTACTTTGTTCGGTCATAGTTTGAGTATACATCTTATCATATCACTATTAATCGATTTGAAATACTCTGATAATGGCCAAACATTTTAATTATACATTAAACCCAAATACAAGAGATGCAACATCCATTCCAATAATGAAGTTTAAAGACTGCATTAATACACTTCCGTTACCAGTAGCTGAAAAGAAATTCTTGAGAGTAATGATACCCAGACTCGCAATTACAGGTACTGTACTCGCTCTTGAAAGTTGTCTCAAAAAATTCAAAACCCCAAACTAATTATTAATTTTCTTTAAAATCTTTTAAAGATTTTACCCTCTGCTTATTCCCTGTTTAATACATATATTTTTACATACCTTAAATCTTATATTATGTTACTCTTTTTTTATTATTAAATAAAATAATCGGTCATGATTAATATTTTCCATACCAAATAGTCTTTCAAAACTCACATTTGGTGGTGGTTTTAACCAAGTAGTTCCACCTGGCACTTATTGTTTTCAAGTAATATATAGACCAGAAATTTCAAAATATGAAAATCAAGTAAATCAAAATAATCAATATTTACATCAACATATCAATGAACCAGGATATCAAAATGAAATAAACTTTTGAACAAAATCATAATACTGAACAAGGAAGCCATGAAAATAATCAAGAAAATCAAAATATAGAACAAGATTTAATGTATCAATGCAGGCCATAAAGATTTCAATCGTTGTGTATTTTATTACGACGATGGTACATTAATTGCTATGATGATAATACCATTAGAATCTCCAGTGGTGAAACTAGCCCCTTAATGAGAGTTTTCCCACAAGAACATAACGATAAGGTTGCTCAATTAATCTGGAGAGGCAACCAGCTCGTTATAGTTGGTAGAGATAAAAAGATTATTATGTGGGATGCTTAAATAATACTAAATAAACTTTTTTGCTATTATTGAAACTAAAAAATATTATTTCTTTCTTCTTTATAAAACCTTTGTTAATTTTCTTTAAATCTTTATATCTATATATTAACCTCTATATCTCAATAAACTATTATATTTATTTTAAAGAAAACAAGGGCAGAGAAGTTATTTCATATCGAAAATTAGATAAATGGATGCACAAAAAAGACCTAATAACATTTGCCAATAGAGATAGTTGCATCGAATTTCAAAAAAACTTTCTTGTAGATGCACTTAACAAAAACTGTAATTGGCAACCATTGACTTTTCAAAAGGATGATATTTCTACAAATAATCTGTCAAACCTCAGGTTATCCATCATTTTGAAAGCTTATAGAAAAAAGCTTAAAAGAAATGTGTCATCTCAAAGGTTTCAAATAAAATCACCAAAAGTATAGAATTGGTCAGTACTATATATTAGGAGAAGTAGATAATATTAGTATTTGCTTATAATCAATGCTAGCTGATAAATCAATGGGTTTCCACCAATACCACAGATTCATTGATTTAGTAAGAGTATCGGCTGCAAGGGGTTCATTACCAATATTCAAAATAATAACACACAATTGGAGATTTATTATTATCTTAATTATAATTCTTTTTTTTTTTTATAACAATGATTTATAAATAAAAAAATCGAATGATTTAAAAAAAATAATATTATCTACAAAACTATATAAAATATAATTTAAACACTTATAAACACAAATAATTATTCTCTACAAAACTATTTATAAATCATCAAATATAAATAAAAAATAATATATTTACAAAAATAAATTAATAGATGAGAAAAAATGAAATTTTGGATTTTGATTTTTAAAAATTTGGATTTTTATATTAAAGATAAATTGTGAATTTTTTTTATTTTTTTTTGAATTTTTTTTATATTTTACAAGATATTAATTTCATATTTTTTTATTTATTTTATTTATTTTATATTGACAATGGATGGGCTGCTATCATCTCTAATTAACTTTCAAGTAAATGAAGAGTTAAAAAACAGTAGTAATATTAGTGATAGGTAAGTACAATACAATACAATACAATACAATACAATACAATACAATACATTACAATACAATACAATACAATACAATAAATATAATATAATAGTCGATTAATTAAAAGCATATTAATTGGTGTTTTCTCTTTTTAACTATTCATTATAGATTATTATATATTGTTTGGAATAATATATTTTTAAGAAATGAAATTCATAAACATATTTTAAAGTTTATTGAACATAATGTTGTAGAATTAAATAGATCAAGTTATGACCAGTTAAAAGATAAATCATATATAACATCACTTGAATGGCATGGTGATACACTACCAGATAAAAATGAATTTCCACCATTTTTGACAGATTTATATTTGTGCACTTTTAATAAAATGTTAACTCCAACAACTTTACCAAATACAATTACTACACTCACGTTTGGTAATTATTTTAACCAAGTAATTCTACCCAGCACATTACCAAATAGTCTTACAACACTTACATTCGGTGATGCTTTTAACCAAGTAATTCTACCCGGCACATTACCAAATAATCTCACAACACTCACATTCGGTTATCGTTTTAACCAAGTAGTTCTATCAGGCTCATTACCAAATAATATCACAACACTCACATTCGGTGAGTGTTTTAACCAAGTAGTTCCACCTGGCACATTACCAAATAGTCTTACAACACTCACATTCGGTGGTTATTTTAACCAAGTAGTTCTACCTGGCTCATTGCCAAATAGTCTTACAACACTCACATTCGGTTATGATTTTAACCAAGTAATTCTTCCCGGCTCATTACCAAATAGTCTCACTACACTCAGATTCGGTCGTGATTTTAACCAAGAAGTTCTACCTGGCTCATTACCAAATAGTCTCACAACACTCACATTCGGTGATGATTTTAACCAAGTAGTTCCACCTGGGACATTACCAAATAATCTCACAACACTCACATTCGGTTATTATTTTAACCAAATAGTCCCACCCGGCTCATTACCAAATAATCTCACAACACTCACATTCGGTAATGATTTTAACCAAGTATTTCTACCTGGCACATTACCAAATAGTCTTACAACACTCACATTAGGTGATGATTTTAACCAAGTAGTTCCACCTGGCACATTACCAAATAGTCTTACAACACTCACATTCGGTCGTTATTTTAACCAAGTAGTTCTACCTGGCTCATTACCAAATAGTCTTACAACACTCACATTCGGTTATGATTTTAACCAAGTAATTCTTCCCGGCTCATTACCAAATAGTCTCACTACACTCACATTCGGTCATTGTTTTAACCAAGTAGTTCTATCAGGCTCATTACCAAATAATCTCACAACACTCACATTCGGTCAATGTTTTAACCAAGTAGTTCTACCCGGCACATTACCAAATAGTCTCACAACACTCACATTCGGTTATTGTTTTAACCAAGTAGTTCTACCCGGCACATTACCAAATAGTCTTACAACACTCACATTCGGTGATGATTTTAACCAAGTATTTCTACCCTGCACATTACCAAATAGTCTTACAACACTCACATTCGGTGGTTATTTTAACCAAGTAGTTCCACCCGGCACATTACCAAATAGTCTTACAACACTCACATTCGGTGAGTTTTTTAACCAAGTAGTTCTACCCGGCACATTACCAAATAGTCTCACAACACTCACATTCGGTTTTTATTTTAACCAAGTAGTTCCACCCGGTTTTTTTAAAATTAATAAAAAATAAAGTTATCAGCCATGATTAATATTTTCCTACCAAATGGAAACTAAAATATATTATTTCTTTCCTCTTTATAAAACCTTTGTTTATTTTCTTAATCAATATTTATAAAATAATAAACTATAAATATCAAAATTTTTAAAAATCAAAATCCAAAATTTCATTTTTTTCTTATGTATTATATTTTATATTTGTAAATATTATTTTTGTTTCATGATTTATATAGAAAATTATTTGTTGTGTATCAGGTGTATTATTTTTGATTAATTAAAAAAATAAAAAAAAAAAAATAAAAAAAATAGAAAAATAATAATTTTAGAAATCAAATCTATTATTGCTTATAAAAACTTCATTTATTATTTATAAATTTTTATTTTTTAAAAATATTTTATTATTTTAAAAATTATTATCCTTTTTTTATCTTTTTTTTATTTTTCATTATCTATTTTTATCTAGGGTATGCGATTTAGTTTATTTTTTGAAAAAAAGGGGTTTCTAAGTTCAGGGTCAATTAGTTCCATTTTTAAAGTCAATTTCTAAGTTTTAGTTTTTTTTTTATTTTTCTAAGTTTTAAAAACAAAAAAAAAAGTTTTTAATTTAAAAGGTGTTTAAAAATCAATAAAAAAACAGTTAAATCATAATCAATTAATATATAGTAATGTGTGGTTGTTTCCCCCTTTTTTTTTTTTTTTTAAATTTTTTTTTAAATTTTTTTTTTTTTTTATTAATATACATAAATATGTTAAGAGGATTTTTAAATATATTTTATTACAATAAAGCAGTTATATAATTAAGCGCAATATTTAAAATTAAAAATAAATAAATTTAATATAATTTTTTTTTCTATAAATACTTCAAAATTTTTATTTATATATCAATATCAAAATTTATTAATATATATAAAAAATATAAAAAATAATTATATTTTAAAAAAATAAAAAATAAATTAATAAATAATTAATATATATATAAATTAATAAATTTAAAATTATAAAAAATAAATATATTTTAATATTAATAACTAAATATCAATGGAAGGAACAAATAAAAGACCTATTACCAGAAGAAATTCAATTTAAGATCTAGACAAAAAGCTATCAACATCCCTATTGCATTAGATATCATTTTATAAATGGTAAAGTATACATATTATTATTTAATTTATTGATTAAAAAATTATATACTAATATCTTATTTTTAATAGATGGTAAATGTTTAGCAGTAAAAAAAAATAGAGAAAAAAACAATCTTTCAAATGATACAATAAATACTCTAGATTATCACTTCTCCAAAGAGAGGGTATAGAGAAACTATGATGAACCTTTAATTCAAATGCTTATTGAAGAAAAAAAAGAAACAAATACATATATTTCAAAGTAAAAATAAATCCAAAAATACTTACAACTCCTATTAAGTAGTAACAAAAGTAACTTTAAAAAAGAAATAATAAAAGAAATGAAGAATGGCATGATTGCATTCCGAATGAAGAATAAAGTTTGTTTCAATTGTGGTCAAGATCACAACATTAATCAATGTGCTAACGAAACCTCTGTTGCTTTAGTCCCATGCACTAAAAGTAATTTCAAAAAACCCAAAACAGCTTGACTATGTGTAGAAGAAAGTTTAGATCATAGAAATGATACAATAAAATATTAGAAAGAAAATAGTATTGAATATCCAACATAATATTCAATTGTAAGAAATGTACTTTCAGTTGCTTCTTCGTCCGTTGAAATTGAAAGAACATTTTCGGGTGCTAAGTTGTTGGTTACAGACAACAGATCAAATTTGGGTTGGGAAAGAATAGAACAATGTGTGTTAATAAGGGAATGGGCAAACATTTCAAGAGTAGATATTGTCGAAAACTCTGTCATTTATAATTATTCAAATATTTCAAAAATGGTATGATTAAATAAAATTGAACAAGAATTTTAAATTTTTTTCATACAAAAAATAATGCAATTCTAAGTTTTTTTTTTTTTTTTTTAAGTTTCTAAGTTTTTAAAATGAAAAAATTAGTCAAGTGGGTGGGTGTGGGAGTGGGGGAAACTTAGAAATTTTTTTTTTTTTTGTCAAACTTAGCTAAATTTTATTCCCTATTTTTATCTTTTTTAAAAAAAAAATTAAGTCGTATTTTAAAATTAATATAATTTAATTAAATAAAAATTTATTTTAAATTTATTTTAAATTTATTTTGTTTTTAGAATTAGATTTTATTTTATTTAAAAATTTTATGATAACAACATTGACGTTTCAGTATACTATTACTGAAAATATTTTGAGAAGCTTTATAGAGCTGAAAATAATTTATACATTTTTTAATTGAATAATAGCTTAGCAAAAATGTGTGGAAATTGTAAACATTTCATGTTTAGATTCCATATCAATTGGATTGACAATAATTAATTTAAATTCCTAGATTATTTTTTCCAGACAAACTATTTACTGGATAAGGTCTACTAAATATTTTTTCACCTAATACTATTTGATGTTCTACCATATTTACTTGGCCAGAGAAAATTTGGTAGAGATTATGATTAAAATACTTATGGTGATTAAACTTTAAAATGTTGACTGTTACTAATTGAAAATTCTCTATTTATTCTAAATGCAGATAGTGTATTGGGGAGACTAAAAATTAATGGGGCTTTATCTTTGGGTTAAGATAATAATGGGTTTGGTTGTTGTAGAAAAGAAATATCTATATTTAATAATTAATATAAAACAATCTTAATAAATAATTTATATATTACTAATATATAATATTAGCAAAAAATAAAGATATTTACTTATTTTATATTGTTGGTGATGAGGGATAAAATGAATATTTTACTACTTAAAATCAATACTGGGTATATTTATTTCTAAAACCCTATAATTGGAAGATTTTGGTTCTCTTCTGGAATCGTAACGAGTAAAGTCGATGATATTGATGAGGATGGTGCTCTTGAGGAATCATAACTATATTCCTTTTCATTGTGAGATGGTGATGAGGATGGTGATGATCTAAATGATGGCGATGTAGATGGGGCACCGGTGGAATCATAACGAGATTCCTTTTCATTGTGAGATGGATATTGGATGATCTTGATGAATTTGATGCACCAGTGGAATCATAACGAGATTCCTTTTCAAAATGGGATGGGTATTTGGATCTTGATGATTTTGATGATGGCGATGTGGATGGGGCACCTGTGGAATCATAACGAGATTCCTTTTGAGAATGGGATAGGTAGTGTGATGGTGCTTTAAATGGTAGATTATATTGATTGTTTTGCCCCGTATGATTTTTAAACCAAATCTTAACATTTGAATTTGTGCGAAGAATAAAGGTGGTGATTGGTGATGATGTGATTGTTCCCTTGTATGATCATTTAGATTTGGTGCCGAGTATGGTGGTTGTGATTCAGCACAAGTTTTCTTATTATTTTGATTTTGTGGATCGGAATTATGGTGCTTTGGGTCGTAGTTTCCATCTCTGTCGGTGCCGTTATTGGTGTTGTCGTTTGAGAAATATATATGAATAATGACAAATGAAGATAACAAAAAATAAAGTGATGATTTTTTTTTAATCAAAAAGATTTTTTTTTAAAAAATAAAAGAAATTATCAAATAGTCTTACAACACTCACATTCGGTTATGGTTTAACCAAGTAGTTCCACGCGGTTTATTTAAAATTAATAAAAAATAAAGTTATCAGCCATAATGGATTTACAAAAAAGACCTAATAACATTTGCCAATAGAGATAGCTGCATCGAATTTCAAAAAAACTTCTTGTAGATGCTCTAAACAAAAACTGTAATTGGGAACTATTGACTTTTCAAAGAGATGTTATTTCTATAAATAATTTGTCTTTAAATGATCATATGCTCAGATATTTTTTTGTGAACATTCTCCCCTAACTATTGAAACAATTACTAAAACAGAAGTTTTAAATAACTTTTTCGACCCTGATAAACAAAAATTAGAAGGTTTCAAATAACTGTAATAATTTTCGATGCTATTATATATATAATATTAAAAGATAAGACATATAAATTATAAAACCTTCATACCTTAACTGTTGGCAAATAAATTAAAGACTCTTTTGAAATGTAAATTAAAAATTAAAAATTAAAAAATTAATTTAAAAAAATTTTTAAATAAATTAATTTTTTTAAATTTTTAAAAAATTAAAAATTAAAAAATTTATACAACGTTATATTATTAATAACATGTTAGAATCCGAGATATCTAACATTATTTGTTGTTCCCAAAGAATCCATTCTTTCTTTTGGGTGAAGTTACACACGTGCCAGAATCTAACATAATAAGATTTACCTTCAAATCAACTTTGGTAGCCAGTCACATTGCCTAGGATATCTCTGAAGAAATGGACAAATCTTGCAACATAAGATTTACCTCATTTGCACACAGTGTTTTTCAAAAAAATTTCTTTAATTTAAATTTAATGAATTTTTATTTATTTTTTTTTAAAACGAAATTTTGGATTTTTATTTTTATATTAAAGATAAATTGTGAATTTTTTTTTGAATTTTTTGAATTTTTTTTATATTTTACAAGATATTAATTTCATATTTTTTTATTATTTTTATTTATTTTATATTGACAATGGATGAGCTACTATCATCTCTAATTAACTTTCAAGTAAATGAAGAGTTAAAAAACAGTAGTAATATTAGTGATAGGTAAGTACAATACAATACAATACAATACAATACAATACAATACAATACAATACAATATAAATAATAGTCGATTAATTAAAAGCATATTAATTGGTGTTTTCTCTTTTTAACTATTCATTATAGATTATTATATATAGTTTGGAATAATATATTTTTAAGAAATGAAATTCATAAACATATTTTAAAGTTTATTGAACATAATGTTGTAGAATTTGATAGATCAAGTTATGACCAGTTAAAAGATAAATCATATATAACATCACTTGAATGGCATGGTGATACACTACCAGATAAAAATGAATTTCCACCATTTTTGACAGATTTATATTTGTACACTTTTAATAAAATGTTAACTCCAACAACTTTACCAAATACAATTACTACACTCACGTTTGGTAATTATTTTAACCAAGTAATTCTACCCAGCACATTACCAAATAGTCTTACAACACTTACATTCGGTGATGCTTTTAACCAAGTAATTCTACCCAGCACATTACCAAATAATCTCACAACACTCACATTCGGTTATCGTTTTAACCAAGTAGTTCTATCAGGCTCATTACCAAATAATCTCACAACACTCATATTCGGTGAGTGTTTTAACCAAGTAGTTCTACCCTGCACATTACCAAATAGTCTTACAACACTCACATTCGGCGATGATTTTAACCAAGCAGTTCTACCCGACACATTACCAAATAATCTCACAACACTCACATTCGGTCGTGATTTTAAACAAGTAGTTCCACCTGGCTCATTACCAAATAGTCTCACAACACTCACATTCGGTAAAGATTTTAACCAAGTAGTTCCACCCGGCTCATTACCAAATAGTCTTACAACACTCACATTCGGTTATTATTTTAACCAAGTTGTTCTACCTGGCACATTACCAAATAATCTCACAACACTCACATTCGGTTATGATTTTAACCAAGTAGTTCCACCCGGCACATTACCAAATAGTCTCACAGCACTCACATTCGGTCGTAGTTTTAACCAAGTAGTTCTACCCGGCTCATTACCAAATAGTCTCACAACACTCACACTCGGTGATGCTTTTAACCAAGTAGTTCCACCCGGCATATTACCAAATAGTCTCACAACACTCACATTCGGTTTTTATTTTAATCAAGTAATTCTACCCTACACATTACCAAATAGTCTCACAACACTCACATTCGGTGGTTATTTTAACCAAGAAGTTCTACCTGGCTCATTACCATATAGTCTCACAACACTCACATTCGGTGATGATTTTAACCAAGTAGTTCCACCTGGGACATTACCAAATAATCTCACAACACTCACATTCGGTTATTATTTTAACCAAATAGTCCCACCCGGCTCATTACCAAATAATCTCACAACACTCACATTCAGTAATTATTTTAACCAAGTATTTCTACCTGGCACATTACCAAATAGTCTTACAACACTCACATTCGGTGATGATTTTAACCAAGTAGTTCCACCCGGCACATTACCAAATAGTCTTACAACACTCACATTCGGTTATGATTTTAACCAAGTAATTCTTCCCGGCTCATTACCAAATAGTCTCACAACACTCACATTCGGTGATCATTTTAACCAAGTAATTCTACCCGGCACATTACCAAATAGTCTCACATCACTCACATTCGGTAGTGATTTTAACCAAATTGTTCTACCCGGCACATTACCAAATAGTCTTACAACACTCACATTAAGTTATGATTTTGACCAAGTAGTTCCACCCGGTTTTTTTAAAATTAATTATATATAAAGTAATCAGTTATGGTTAATATTTTCCTACCAAATGGAAACTAAAATATATTATTTCTTTCCTCTTTATAAAACCTTTGTTTATTTTCTTAATCAATATTGATTAAATTGTTGCACAGATGGATATATTTTTTATTTAAATCTTTTCTAAAAATAAATCTTTAATATTTTTTTCATTAGCTAAAATACAAAAAAAAAATTGGGAAAAAAAAAATTATAAAATTAAAAAAAGATTATTAATAATAATTTGTATTTTTTCGATTTATTATTTTCTTTAAATATAAAAAAAGATTATTATTATTTTATATTGTATAAATGGGCAGTAGAAAAAAAAGAGATAATTGCAATACAGATTTATATAATAATAATAATAAAGATAATTAATTTTCTTAAAGTATTTACTCGATAATTACAATAATGCAGATTCAATCGTTAGAGATAAAATAAAAAGCAGAAATTATATAATCAGAAACTTTAAAGAAATTCAGTATATTATCAGCAAAATCACCAAAAATACAAAAGAGAATAGAGAGCTATATAGACAGTTGTTTACAACATTCCCTTGCTATTGCAAAGATATTGATAATCAGTTTGGCTCTACTCCATACTGGCTTCAATTTATATTCGGTATGAACAATACACCAGCATTTATTCAATATATTCAAGTTTTCAAATTAGGACAAAAAGATATTACAAAACAATTTAAATCTTATGTTTCTGAAAAGAAGTTATCCGAATGGCGATCGATCAACTATTATAAAATATACAAAATGCAGCTGTATTTAAAATCTATAGGCATAACCATTGATTTCTTATCTATCTATGATGTTATTAAAAATTTTCAATATTCATATAAGTTCAAAAGCCTAATTAAACTATACAAAATGACTATCAAACAAGCAGCTCCACAAAAAGAAAAGTATCTCTTTATGGTTAAATATTTATCAGTTCAACTAGAATCTAATCAATTATATGAAATAGTTTTAAATTCTACATTTGATTACTTTTTAGCGATAATAATCTAAATTGGCCTTATGTCAACCTCAGGTTATCCATCATTTTGAAGGCTTATTGAAAAAAGCTTCAAAGAAATGTTTCATCCCAAAGGTTTCAAATAAAATCACCAAAAGTATAGAATTTTTAAAGAATTTAGAAAGAGCATTAATGAATCCAGAAATATATTATTTTGAACAAAATGAACTCACTCCATTTAATTTAAACTCATTCGACGATCATTTAAACTATGGACTAAAAAAAGGAAAACAGGATTTGGTTATCTCAATTATGGAATGGATTATTTTATATTTAACAAAATCAGACATTAGTTCAATTATAAAAAATACATACACTGACAGAATTTATAAATTCATCTCAGGTTAAAGATATTTCCAAAAATGAAATTACAAATAATGCATTGTCCGATTTATCTATCAAAACAGTAACAAATCCTTCAAACAACAGAAATTAAACAATTAAAATTAGAATGGAATGGGAACATACAGATGTTTTGTTTCAATTATCAAAGAAACACCCTAACTTGGTCAGTACTATATTTGAAGAAGAAGATAATATTAGTATTTATTTATTATCAAAGATAGCTGATAAATCAATGGGTTTCCCAGATTCATTGATTTAGTAAGAGAATTAGTTGCAAAGGGGTTCATTACCAATATTCAAAACAACTATATTATAAAATAAATCAAATCTAATGAAAAAAGAATTAGAAAATGATTCATTATACTCTGTTAAAGAATTAAAAAAATTTGTAGAGATCTCAATAGAATTTGGTAATCAAGAATTAACACACTTTTTATTACAACATTCCAACTTTTCTTTTAATGACATCTAATCTAGATTTAAATTTTGTTTATTTGCCGTGTATGTTGAAAACTTTTTTTTTTTTTAAATTAATCATTTTAAAGTAATTTCAACATTTTACCGTGAAAATTTAGAATATTGGAACAAAATTACTCAGTGTATTGATTGATCTACGGTTTTGACAAAAAAAAATTTAAAATGAATAAAAAAAAAAATTAAAAGAAGGGCACAAAAGAAAAAAAAAATATTGGGTGTTTGTTTTTATTGCTCCAAAATTAAAAAAAAAAAAAAAAAAAAAAACTAAAAAAAAAAAAATTTAAACAGGAAATTCCTTTGATAATGTTTTAAATAGATATCATACAATATAATGTAAGTTGTATTTTTCGTTAATTGTTATTTAGGGGTTAGAAATAATAACATTGATGTTACAATGAATAATAATATTAAAATTATTAAAAAAAAAATTTAATATGTAAAAAAAAATTTAAAAAAAACCCCAAAATAACCTATTTATTCAAAAATTTTAAAAAAATAATGGGGGAAAAAAAAAAAAAAAAAGTTTTTTTCAGTTTTTTTTTTTTTTTTTTTTTTTTTCATTTTGGAGGAATTCATTAATTTCATATTTTTTTATTTATTTTATATTGACAATGGATGGGCTGCTATCATCTCTAATTAACTTTCAAGTAAATGAAGAGTTAAAAAACAGTAGTAATATTAGTGATAGGTAAGTACAATACAATACAATACAATACAATACAATACAATACAATACAATACAATATAAATAATAGTCGATTAATTAAAAGCATATTAATTGGTGTTTTCTCTTTTTAACTATTCATTATAGATTATTATATATAGTTTGGAATAATATATTTTTAAGAAATGAAATTCATAAACATATTTTAAAGTTTATTGAACATAATGTTGTAGAATTAAATAGATCAAGTTATGACCAGTTTAAAGATAAATCATATATAACATCACTTGAATGGCATGGTGATACACTACCAGATAAAAATGAATTTCCACCATTTTTGATAAATTTATATTTGCGCACTTTTAATAAAATGTTAACTCCAACAACTTTACCAAATACAATTACTACACTCACATTTGGTGATGATTTTAACCAAGTAGTTAAACCCTACACATTACCAAATAGTCTTACAACACTCTCATTCGGTCGTGATTTTAACCAAGTAGTTCCACCTGGGACATTACCAAATAATCTCACAACACTCACATTCGGTCATCATTTTAACCAAGTAGTTCAACCCGGCACTTTACCAAATAATCTCACAACACTCAAATTAGGTGGTTATTTTAACCAAGTAGTTCCACCCAGCTCATTACCAAATAGTCTTACAACACTCACATTTGGTCGTGATTTTAACCAAATAATTCTTCCCGGCACATTACCAAATAGTCTCACAACACTCAGATTCGGTCGTGATTTTAACCAAGTAATTCTACCCGAAACATTACCAAATACAATTACCACACTCACATTTGGTGATGATTTTAACCAAGTGGTTCCACCGGGAACATTACCAAATAATCTCACAACACTCACATTCGGTTATTATTTTGACCAAGCAGTTCAACCCGGCACATTACCAAATAGTCTTACAACACTCACATTCGGTCATTATTTTAACCAAGTAGTTCAACCCGGCACATTACCAAATAATCTCACAACACTCACATTCGGTTATGATTTTAACCAAGTAGTTCAACCCGGCACATTACCAAATAGTCTTACAACACTCACATTCGGTGGTGATTTTAACCAAGTAGTTCTACCCGGCGCATTATCAAATAGTCTCACAACACTCAAATTCGGTCGTTATTTTAACCAAGTAGTTCTACCCAACACATTACCAAATAGTCTCACAACACTCACATTCGGTCATAATTTTAACCAAGTAATTCTACCTGGCACATTACCAAATAATCTTACAACACTCACATTTGGTTATCGTTTTAACCAAGTAATTCTACCTGGCATATTACCAAATAATCTTACAACACTCACATTCAGTAATAATTTTAACCAAGTAGTTCCACCTGGCTCATTATCAAATAGTCTCACAACACTCACATTTGGTTATGATTTTAACCAAGTAGTTCTACCCAACACATTACCAAATAGTCTTACAACACTCACATTTGGTCATAATTTTAACCAAGTAATTCTACCTGGCACATTACCAAATAATCTTACAACACTCACATTTGGTTATCGTTTTAACCAAGTAATTCTACCTGGAATATTACCAAATAATCTTACAACATTCACATTCGGTGGTAATTTTAACCAAGTAGTTCCACCTGGCACATTACCAAATAGTCTCACAACACTCATATTCGGTGATGATTTTAACCAAGTAGTTCTACCTGGCACATTACCAAATAGTCTCACAACACTCACATTCGGTCGTGATTTTGACCAAATAGTTCAACTTAGGACATTACCCAATAATCTCACAACTCTCACATTCGGTTTTTATTTTAACCAAGAAGTTCTACCTGGAACACTACCAAATAGTCTCACAACACTCACATTCGGTCGTTATTTTAACCAAGTAGTTCCACCTGGCACGTTACCAAATAGTCTTACAACACTCACATTCGGTTATGGTTTTAACCGAGTAGTTCCACCTGGTTTATTTATAATTAATAAAAAATAAAGTTATCAACCATTATTAATATTTTCCTACCAAAACAGAGTAATAAGCAGAGGGGGAATTAAATATATAAGAATTTGAAAAATTAGTAATTAAATTTTTACTTTAAAGAGTTGAAATGTTGGGTCCAACTTTGTAGAAAGAATACAGTGCCCGGATTATATATGTAGACCCCCCCAACTTTTATTAAATCATTTATAAAATAAGATCTACCAATAATAATTTTTATATGAAGAGCCTTACCGCCAATAATAATTAATATTTAAAAATAAATCGTTAGGAGTGAGTGTGGGTAAAATAAAAAAATAAAAAAAAAAAATTTCTATATTTTTTACCACATTTTTATTTTTAAAATTTTTATATTTTTTTTATCATTAATTTAATAATTAAGTGTTAGTATAAGTTTAAAAATTATATATAGTAAATAAACAAAATGAGGTTAAGAGATGAAGTTCCATACTCAATATTATCATATAAAAACAGAGGTCACAAGTCGAACTCAAAAATTGCAAAAAAATTGGAGTGCATAAATCAACAGTAGCAAAAACATTAGAAATGGTAGAACAAACAGACACAATCAATGACCGTAAACGTCATGGGAGAAAAGAAAGTTTGACGAACGTGATAAACGTGATTTATGTTTCAATTTTTAAAATAGTAAATTTAACAATATAAAATAAAGTATAATTTGGTATGAACAAAATGGATTTGGAACAATATCATACAAGTCAGTAAGAATTATATTAAAGAGATATAATATAATATAGAAAAAGAAAGTTAAGAATCCTTCATTGATTAGACATAATAGCAGAAAAAGATTTTTTTTGAAGTTGTGCATATAAATTTTTTTGTGGAATAATGAGAAAATTATATGTTTGTGGATGAAGTAAAGTTCCAATAATATGATAATAACCATGGTAGGTCTTCTTGGGCTTATGAAACTAATGTTTTACTAGAATCACGTATCAAGACAAATGTTAGAAAGGGTGGGGTTAATTAAATATTTTTGGGAAATTTTCTTTATTTTGGTCCAATTTATTTATTCATTTATCAAATGGATTTTGAACTAAACAATATCTTGATATTATAAAAAACGATACACAAATAAATTTAGAATAATATGCAGATATAAATAAAGTGCCTAAGAGGTTGCCAATCATTTGTCATGACAACTGTAGTTCGCATACAGTAAAGATAGTGAAACAATATTTAGAAGAAAATAATATACAAGTTTATCCATTACCACCCTACAGTCTAGATATTAATATAATTGAAAATCTTTGATTAATTATTAAAGAAAGGGTATCTAAAAATATGTTTCGTAACCCATCACAAGACCAAGTTCAGGTATGTCAAGATGCATTTCATTCAATAGAAAAATCAATTATAAAATCATTATATGAATCACTCCCTGACCGAATGGATGCCATATTAAAAGTACATGGATGGTATATTAAATATTAAATAATAATAATCATTTATATATAATTGTAAAAAAAAACAAATAAAAAACAAAAAAAATTTTTGAAATTGAAAAAACGGATTAAATATTAAGACCCTATTTTTTTTTTTTTTTTTTTTTAATTTTTAGCAAATAAACCAATATCTTGTAATATGATTTATTTTAGAGGTCATTATATAAATATTAAATATGATCTATTAATTCAATAATTATCATTTCCATTTTAAAAAAGTTGGGGGGGTCTAAATATATAATCCGGGCACTGTAGTACCAATTATTGTTTTTCTTGGTAATTTTTTGAACAAGTGAATTTTATAGTTTTCTGGAAGCGGAAATAGATTTAGGCAACCTTTGAGAGTTTTGATGTTGAGGGATATATCTTTTTCAGTGTGGGGAACTTTGGTTATAATCCAAATGCCTCTATTACTATTGGGGTTATTTGAACATCAAATGGTCTGCCATCAGGATTTTTGTATGTATTCTTTATAATTGAACTAGTGTGGAGATAGTCTGATTTTGAATATAAAATAATCCTTCCTAAATTTGAGATAACCAAATCCTGTTTTCATTTTTTTAGTCCATTGTTCAAATGATCGTTGAATGAGTTTATATTAAATGGAGTGAGTTCATTTTGTTCAATGATAAATTTCTGGATTCATTAATGCTCTTTCTAAATTCTTTAAAAATTCTATACTTTTGGTGATTTTATTTGAAACCTTTGGGATGAAACATTTCTTTGAAGCTTTTTTCCAATAAGCTTTCAAAATGATGGATAACCTGGGGTTAACATATGGCCAATTTAGATTATTATCTCTGAAAAAATAATTTCTATAATCTTCTAATTTTTGTTTATTAGGGTCGAAAAAGTAATTTAAAACTTCTGTTTTAGTAATTGTTTCAATAGTTAGGGGAGAATGTTCACAAAAAAATATCTGAGCATATGATCATTTAAAGACAAATTATATGTAGAAATAACATCTCTTTGAAAAGTCAATAGTTCCCAATTACAGTTTTTGTTAAGAGCATCTACAAGAAGTTTTTTTGAAATTCGATGCAGCTATCTCTATTGGCAAATGTTATTAGGTCTTTTTTGTAAATCCATTTATCTAATTTTCGATCTGAAATTTCTTCTTCTGCTCTGATTTTTTCTTTAAATAATAGTATATTGGGATATAGGTTTCTTTTGTTATTTGTTTTATAAATAGAATAATACTTTGAGAATATTAATTATCTAAATCTTCATTATCTTTATTATATAAATCTGTATTTCAATTATCTATCTCTTTTTTTTCTACTGTCCATTTATACAATATAAAATAATAAAAATCATTTTTTATATTTAAAGAAAATAATAAATCGAAAAAATATAAATTAATAATAATCTTTTTTTAATTTTATAATTTTTTTTTCCCAATTTTTTTTTTTGTATTTGAGCTAATGAAAAAAATATAAAAGAAGATGAAGATGAAAATGAAGTATATAAAGTGTAGGAGGAAATTCAATCAAAGATTCATTAATGAACTCCACTTGAAATCAATAGCTCAAAAAAGATTATATGAAAAATGGCGATAATGCAGATTAAGTTTTTAGCATGTAACAATCGATGGGTGAGAATAACTATAAATACTATTTATAGAAATCTATAATTGCATTTCACTTCAATAACAACCATATAAATAAAAAAAAAGAAAACTCATTATTTATAAATACATATTATATAAACTAATATATACTAAATAAACTATATATTGTTTGTTGTGACCTGGTTAAAGCCATCTTTTAAATGAAGATTTTTAATATTTAAATAAAAACTGGAGATTGTTGTGCTTTTTTTTATTTTTTTTTAAAAAAAAAGATATTGATTTAGTCATGAAGAATATCACTCTTTAAACCATTTAGTTCTTGACTCTGTTCAGAAATAATATACTTTACAATGTCACCAATGGAGAGCATACCAATTAAACGTTTGTTATCGAGGACTGGTAAATGTCTAATATTTCTTTTGGTCATAATGGAAAGACACTTGGATGCTCCGCTGTCACCAGAAACAGTGATTACTTTTGAAGACATAATATCCTTGACAAGAGTCTCTCTTGGTGTTAAACCTCTAAGATCAACTTTGGAAAGATAGTCACGCTCTGAAAAGATACCTGTCATTCTATTGTTTTTGTCAACAACAATAGTGGCACCAACTCTTTTTTCGTTCATTACCTTGATTGCATCGTACACTGTTGAATCTTCATCTACTCTTACAATACGCCCAAGATTATTTTTAATTTTATTTTCAATTATTTTACCAACTTGAATATCTACATATGATTTTAATTTTGGACGTAAGGTTTCACCAATTGCTTGACTTTTAATTTTAATTATTTCAATTGTTTTTGGCGAAATATCTACCATGTTGCTATGGTGGTGATAACTACTTCCATCTCCTCTATTACTCTGAAAAAAAAAAAACTATTAGTAAACAATAGAGTTCTTTGAACCTTTATGTATTTTATATTTACCATATTGATATTTGTGTTGGAATAATAAAGATTCTGACTTTTAAATTTGATTTTTAATTGAGGTACTATATTTGGATATTGAAAATAATTCTTTGAACCATTTCCTCTCTTTAACAAAAAGTTAATTAAACCTGATTTTAACATTTTATATTAATTAATTTAATTAATTTTTTTTTATTATCTAACTATGTATATATAATTTATATATTTATATAAGATAAAATTTGAAATTTAAGGATAAAATATTTATATTTATGTGTAAAAAAATATACTATTAATAAATAAAAATAAATAAAAATAAAAAAAAAAAAAGAACAAAATTATTAAATTAAAAAAATAATTTAAAATGAATAATATAGTAATTCGATAATTATACACACAAAAAATTAATTAAATGTACAGCAATATGTGAATAAAATAAAAACAATAAAAAAAACATTTGTGTGAGTGGGGTGCAATGTGTGTTACAAAAAAAAAAAATAAAAAAAAAAATAAAAAAAAATAAAATATAAATATTTATTGTTAGGGGGTGCCACTGTTTTTTACATTTCAAATAAAATAGTTTAATATAATGGGTAAACAAATTTGGTATTGTTTCTTTGGAATATAGAATGAATAAACTATAAATATTTATATAAATTATAAAAATTATAAAAATTATAAAAATTATAAAAATTTAAAATAAATAATATTAAATATTAACCATAAATAAAAGTAGAAAAAATATTATGTTCCATAGTAATGTTGCACACACTTTAACTTTCTTATGTAGTATTGTTTCTACATTTTCTCCTTTTCTTTTTTTTTCTTTTTTTTTTGATCTCTTTTAAAAGAAAATATATAAACGGTGTTGTAAACCAAAAAATAATAATATGAAAATTAATTTTAAAAAAAAAAATTTTATATTTTAAAATTTAAATTTTTTTTTTTTTTTTTTTTTTTTTTTTTTTTTTTTTTAAATTTTAGTGTTTTTTATTAAATTAATTTTTCATTTCATTTTTTTTTTTATTTTTAAGATTGTAATAATATTTAGTAAATAGAAAAAAATATTTAGATAAATAATTATTTTTTTTTATATATTTATTCATTTTAAATATTACTATTAAATTTAGCTGTCATAAAAAATAATATTTTAATGATAATAAATAATTAGATATCTATTCATCCTTATTATTTATTATAATAATATCGCATATAATAAAAATGTTGGATGAGATACTTTCAGTTTCAATTAAAGAAATTGCGAGCAACTGTTCGTTAGGATGCACACCAACAGAATTATGGGAATATATAAATGGTTTTGGGTTATCAAACGGCAGAAAGTTAATATTAAATGATTATATGAAAGGTTATATCCATAGACTATTACTAAATCAAACCAATATATCACTATTACCCAACCCAAACTTTAAAGCCAATACACCTCAACAAGATGAAAAAAAAGAGATAGTAAATAATAATAGCAATAACAATTATAACAATAATAATAATAATAACAATGATAACAGTAATAATAGGGAGGCACCAATTCCAACACTACCACTACCACTTCAAAAAACAAGTCCTGCAGCAAGCGATGATGAAAAAGAGAAAATTGAAGAAAAAATGGTATCAATTAAAAATGAAGAAGAAAAAGAAGAAATTATACAAACTCAACCAAGATCAGAAGATAATAAAGTCATTGTACATAAAAACAAACCAGTTAGGACAAGTATTTTTACATGGAAAAGAGAATCAACCTTAGCTAAAAGTGACATTTCCACAAATTTAAATAAAGACTATTGGCTAGAGCCATCAGATGCATTTATCTATATTGCAGATAAATACAATCAAATGGTTGCACTTGGTATTACAGAAGAACATAGAATAACACCTTTTCAATTTAAATTACTGGAGCAGGTTTCAAAATCAAGAATACAAGGTGCTTTAGTTAGGGACTTATCAAACTTATTTAACATTGACCCAAGAAATATTTTTACACCAATCAAAGATTTAATTTTAAAGGGAATTATGTAAGTAATTATAAAAAATTTTAAAAAAAAAAAAAGTTTAAATTAAATTAACATTTTAATTGATTTAGAATAAAAGAAGAGGTAATGAGTACACGCTTAAGCTCCCGTGTTTCAACTGGAAGAATATATTTACAAAAATATAACCAAAGAAGTTTTAATCCGGTCAAAGAAAATTGGGTCCCAAAATATTGGCAAAAAGCTGCATTTTGTTATTTTTTAGATATTGAACCAGGTAAAGCTATGCCCCAAGCAAAATTAATGGCTAAAGTTGGTTCTGCTGCCTCAACATTCAAGAAAATTAGAAGAATTCTTTTTCATAATGGATATACTTCAGAATCTGAAGAAAAAGGTAAAGAAACCATTATTAAACTAGAGAAGCCACTTGATGAAACATTTTGGAATTTTATAAAAAGTGATCCAGATGAAGGCGCTAATAATGATGAAGATAATGAAAATGAAGAAGATAATGACGATGACAAAAAATCTAAAACCACAACACCAACATCTGACCAAAATGAGAATGAAGAAGATGACATGTCCGGTCAATCTTCGAATTTAGTTATGGAGCTACCAATCGACCAACAAATTTTTAATTTTATTAAGGAGTCTGGTAAAAATGGTATCACACAAAAAGAAATTTTCAGCAAATCCGGTAATATTTCTTCTAAGAATATTTCGACAATTATAAGAAAACTTATTATATCGTTCAATGTAAAGATTCTTCCTGTTTCTGTTGGTAAACAATTTCAATATAGAATTTATGCAGATCCCAAAGACCACATTCATCAAACTTCTGTTGAAGATTCAAATGCCATAATACCATATATCCAAGAGTATGGGAACTCATTAGTCTTAGCCCAACCAGAATTAGAGAATGACAAAAGAAAGATACCTAGAACTTTAATGTATCTCAAGCGTAAGAAAGAAGTGCATAAATTTATCCAAGACTCTGTTGGTGTTCTATCATTCCAAATTATTCTTCATATGCGTCAAATCAACGATACAAAATTCGAACAAAAAACATTATCTCGAGTTTTAGAAGATTTACTCAAAGAAAACAAAGTTTCCATAACAACAATTCATACCCAGTACTATTGTGGCGCCAATAAAAATTTAACTTTTTTATATGATTCCATTTTTAAAATTACAGACCCAGAAGTTCAAGAAATAATTGAATCAATTAAATCAATTCAAACTGAACCTGAAAATGGCCTAACACCTCGTTCAAAAGTTTTAGATGAAGAAGATGAAGAAGATTTTAAAAACTCTGATACCAACCTACATCCGATAGTCAAACCAAGTAGAAAACAATATAATCCAATTTCATTAAAGTATGGTTTTGTCAAAGGTAGCATCGTTAGAGCCAAATTACTCCATATATTTTTATGGAACTTTTCAAATAGAAATAAAACCCAACATTCACAATCACCTCAAACTTCTGAGGACCAAAATAATGCTACCGAAAGACAACTAACAATACAAAAACCAAAAGAATTGGCTGAAAAAACCAAAATCATTTTAAATTATTTTATTAAAACATTACCAATTTCCGATTACTTAAAGATCATCTCACAGGCAACACCAATTAAAAATCTTTCACACTACATCAAACAAGAGACACCAATTATTAACTTACCAATCGAAATTAAGAACCAACTTTTCCAAAGAAGAACCTTTATAAATAGAATAGGAAAACTTATGGCCATTTTAAGACAATTGGATTTAATGGAAATCTCACATAACCCCAACAAAGTAGCAGACTATAGCTTTTTAAGATACGCAGGACTAAAGAATGAGTTGAGCGAAGTAAAACTATATGATTTCGAATCACTAGAAAGTGTACATAACTACTGGACCGACCTTCAATTTCTTTCACTACTACCACGTGAACCACATAATAAAGAACCACCTGCTGACTTTATTTTAGACCGTATGAAATTTTTAAAGAACATTGTGCTTTGGGGTGTACCAAGAATACCACTAACTCAAGATATCAAAGTTAAACTTGTGTCTCGTTTTAGATATTTAGAGGAGAAAGAAGAAAAAATCCTCGAAAGAGATGAACTAAGACAAATTGCAACTCATTACCATGTAAGCTATACAAAACTATGTTTATTCTATAAAAGATATTTAAAAAAGAGAGATGAACCCGAAGGCATCTCATCTGTAACAAAAACTAGATCAAGAAAACCCAAAGATGTCGTTGCAGCCATCGAAGAAGAAGAGGAAAATGATGACGATGATGATGATGACTATGGTATTGATGATGATAACTTTGGTAATGAAGGTGCATATAGTGACGTCTTTAAACAAAAACGTGTTAAAATTTCAACCAATAGGGTTAATCGTCAATCATCAGTCAACAAGATTGCATATGAAAAGAGACAAGAATTTAAAACCATCATTGCACCATATAGACGTTTCAAATGGACTGCTCTTGAAGACTCTCAACTCTTAAAAAAGTATACCGAGGTATTTAGAGACTTTTTCAATAATATACCAGAGGGTGTAAAAAACAATGCAAACAATGAATACTATATTACTCCATCGGGTATACCATCCATGTTGAATCCACTTTGGGATAAATTAGGTGAAGAAATTCAAAAGATTGGTCAACTTTGCTATAGAAGAATGCGTTTATTGGTAAAGAAATATCCAAGTTACAAAAATTTTCACAAGAGCAACTCTACCCCCGATTTACCACTTAGCATTAAAGAATTCAACGCACTATTCACCATTCAATATAATAAGAGTGAAAATTTAGAACTATTCGAATTCTCCAGATTCAATAAAACTGATGAAGCCATAATGAGAGATAAGCTCATCTTTTTAATTAGCATTCCAGAGCAAGAGTACAGCTTCAACTATGGTGTAAAAATCCTTGGTTCAAATAAAATTCTTAGTCGTCAAGTTTTAGATTCACTTTATAATGATAGAATTTTAAAATCATTAAAATCAAGAAATGCAAATCGTTCAATTACCTTTTGTGTACAAAAGATTTATTTCAAAAACAACTGCTTAAATGATGACTTCTTCCAAGAGAATAGAACATTTATGACAAATATTAAAGAAATCCCATTATATAAATTAGATGATAATGAACTTTTTCAATACGATCCATTAACAAGTGGTGGTTCAGTTTCATCAATGCTTAACCTACTAAGCAACAACAAAGTGTTACCAATTGTTGGTGTCAAAGATTCATTCGAAAAAGAAAAACCTCCAAAATCAAGAGATTTCAGTGGTGGCAGAAGATTAGATTTAATGTTAAATAAAATTAATGTAGCCTATTTAATTAGGGAATATATCAACTACTCCTATATTGAAAATGAAAGAAAAAGAGCAATTAACCCAGATGTAATTTTACCAAATGATCCATTAGAATCAGAAAAAAAGAAATTTAATAAAATTTTTGAAATTGGAGATGATGATCAAGAAATGAAAGAACAAGAAAAAGAAAAGGAACAAAAAGATCAAAGATCATCAAAGAGATTAAAAGCATCAAATGATAATAATAAATCCAAAAATTATCAGTCTGTTATTGACAAATATAATAATAGGTTTTTAATTGAAGACTTTAAAATTTTATTTATCGATAAATTAGTTAAAATGGATGCAGTCGGTACTGAAAAAACAAATGATTATATCGCAAACTTTGTATTGGCTACCCAAGAAGTATTTAGAATTATTCATTCCAATAAAACCAAAGGTGTAAAAAGAATTAATATTATCAATCACTTTTTAAACAATATTAACAATTCAAACGAAATTATTCAGCATCTAATAATCGAAGAACCTGCACCAGAAATCGAATTTACTCAATACCTTTATGAGAAACTACCATCATTTATTTTAGAATTAAAATCAATTGGTCTCATCGATACACTATTTACATTCTCTGAAAAAAAATATGTTTCTAAACAATTTTTCATAGACTCACTACTACCAATAGACTACACTTTACAATTAGAGTACCAACAAAAGCTAAAACACGAACAAAAGTATGGTGTTCCAGAGGGTAAAGAACCATTACCACAGAAATTCGAACCTCCATTAAATTATCGTGATAAAAGACTAATCAAACCTTGGCTCGAACCAAATGGCTCAATCAACAGAAATAACTTTAACAAGATGTTCACAGAACTCATTACCAATGTATATCATTACCCTGGCTCCACTTTAGAAACAATCTCCCATCGTTTACAAAAATACTCTCCATCACTCTTAAAAGAAGCAGCTATGATCCTTCAACAATTAGACTACCTTACAATTATGGAATACGACTATAAACCACCAACTCTTTTTACACCATCCGAATTTATTACTAAACCATTTAATCCACTTAATGATGGCTGCACACAATTAATTTTTAATTCAACCACAAAATTTTTTAATCTTCAATCAGATTTTTCAGTTTATCTTTTAACTGAAGACTTTTAATATTACAATAAATAAAATAGAAATATTCTGGATATATTAACCATAATTTATTTATAAATAAACAAATTTTGTTTGTATATAAAAAAAAAAAAAAAAAAACTTTATAATTTCAAAAACACAAAGGGGTAATCCTTGGGGGTTTGTGTGTGATTAAATTTCTTTTTTTTTTTTTTTTTGATTTTAATTAATTCATAAATAATTAATATATTTTTAATAACTTTCTTTTAAAATTAATTAGAAAAAAATTAAAAAGAAATGATACGAATAAATTCACAATCAAAACTATCAGATTAAAACTTTAGAAAAAAAAATCTGGTTTCTAAAGAATAATATTAGCTATATAATTTTTTTTTTTTTAAATAGTTTTAAATGAAAATACTATATGTTATTTAAATCTGGAGGTTTAATGTTCGTAAGATATAAATAAAAAAAAATTAAAAAAAAAAATTAAAAAAAAAAATTAATTAGTATCTAAATAAATAATTAATAAAAAGTTAATAAATGTTGTATTTAACATTGTAATTAATTTCACAATATAATGTAGATTTATATATAAAAAGTTATTTATTTATAAGGTTTATTTTATTTGGGGGTGGGGTCTTCTTTGTGATTGCTCACAGTAGTAAATGTAAGTGTATGTGTAATGATGTGCATGTGTGTATTAGAGTGTCACCCTTAAGATAAATATTAAAAAAAATTTGCAAGTTAAAATTTGGGGGGTGAGAGAGTGGGTTTTTTCAAGAAAAAAATTATTATTTTTCAAACATCTAATAAACAATAACAATAAAATAAAAATTTACAAAAAAACATAAAATTGAATCACTCTTAAAAGATTGTTCTGAATAGAGTAATAGTGTACAGATTAGATTTGTTTTTAAAAAAAAAATAACAATAAAAACTAAACAATAATATTGTTATAAAAAACATAGAAATTTTATTTGATCAATAAAAAATTTCAAAAAAAACCCACAAATTCTTTATTTTAGATCTATCATTATTTTTAATATTCATTATTTTCCCCCTCTCTCTTCTCCCCACGCTTACCACCTTTTTTATAATTATTTAAAATTTTTTTGTTATTTAATTTTTTGTGTTTATTAACATCAAAATCAATATCTTTATTGTTGTCATCAATATTTTTAAATTTATAGAATACACATCATAATCATCATATGTTTTTTTTTATTTATTTTTTTCTTTTTTTTTTTGCCACAACACCCCAAAATAAAATAATTATTCGTTTTAAAAAATACAAAATAATATTTTTTTTTTCAATTTTATATATATACTGAACCCATTTTGTATATTTTTTAAATATGATTTTCTTTATTATTTTTATTTTTCTAACACACTATGACCAAATAGCACCCACCACTTTAATATTTTGGACCTCAAAAAAAAAAATTTTATCCTTTTATAAAAAAAAATCTGTTGATTGTTTTTGTGTTTTTTATAAAAAAAGTAGTGAGATAGACAGTTAAGTGCATTTAATTCCCAACTTTAAAGATTATCTTGTTTAAATATATTTTTATTTTTACATTAAAATTTTTTTAAATTCATTATATATTTTAAAAAAAAACAGTATAAAAAGAAAAAAAAAATATTTTATAATTCATTCATTCAATAAAAACAAATAAAGAATTTAAGTAAATAAAATAAACTAAATCATAATTTTAAAAAAAATAAAAATATAAATAAATACATAAAATAAAATGACAATCATTAGTAAGTGTTTAAAATAAATTCGCGCACACCACCACACCGAATTATTAATATATTTTTTATAAAAAATTTAAAATTTTTTTATAATAAAACAATTTTCCAAAAAATAAAAAATTCCTAATTTTGATTTTAATTTTATTTTGAAATTAGATTCACTTTTTTCAATGAATATCCAAGCATTCTCTGATGTTTCCAAATCATCATCTATAAATATTAATAATAGTGGAAGTTCATTACCTTTTATGAAACAAACAAATAATATAATAAGCCAAACTGATTATTTCAAATACGAAAAAATCAATGATGGAAATCGTCCAGCCGTAGTCTAAATAAAATAAATCTTGTATATAAATTTAAAAAAAAAAAAAAATCGAAAAAAAATAACGGTTTTCAATTGGAAAAAAAAATTTGAAAAAAAAAAAATTTAAATAAAAAAAAAATAATAAAAAATTCATTTTATTATTATTTTAAATTTTTTTTTTTTTTAATTTTTATTTTATTTTTTTTATTTTTATTTTTATTTTTAAATTAGCTATTACTTTTTTTTTTTTTTTTTTATAATTATTATTTATTTCTAAAAGCAACACTCTTATAACTCACACATATCACAAAAACAAAATACAAGAGAAAAACAATATAAAAAATATTTCTTTATTTATTTATATTAATAAAAAAAAAAAAAAAAAAAAAAAACAGAAAACAGAAAACATAAATAAGCAATTAAATAAATAAATAAAGATATATTTAAAAAACTAAAACTCTATATAAATATTAGTAATATTAGTAATAATAGTAATAACAACAATAGTAAAAGAATGGATTCAGTTATACCAGATATTATGCAATCATTTAATAAATTATCAGAACAGTCTTTAAAGTTTGCAATAGAGTCAATTAAAGAGTTTAGTAATGGTTTGGTCAGTGAAAATGCAACAAGTTCAACAACTACATCAACTTCAACAACTACTACAGATGATAGAAAGCAATTACTACCAATTATTGAATCTAGTATTTGGGATGAAGCATATAGCTGGTTAAAGCAAATTCCTGCAGGTGAAAGTATTTCAAAGCATTTCAATTGTAAAATAGATGATGTTCCAGCTACTTTAAAGAGATACAATAGTTTAAAATTATTTTTAGAGAGTTTGCCAGATGAACAAATTAAAGAAATCTTTGTACATTTATCATTGGAAAATTTAGAAACCAAAGGCTTTAATAAAATAGATATGATTCCAAAGATTGAAGAAGAAATGATGATGCAAGGTATTTTCAAATTATTATTTAGACTCAATAAAAAGACATTAGAAAGTTTTTCTCAAGATTTAAAGATTAAGTTCACAGATAACATACCAAGTGTTTGTGACTCAATTATGAGTACAATGTATGATTTAGAAGAGTCTCCCGAGATTCAACAACCATCTACAACTACAACAACAACTACCACAACCACAACAACATCACCAACAACCCCAGTTAAAGAGAATAATGACTCTAACAATAATACAACAACAACCTCACCAACTTCGGGCACTTTAACTCCAGAGAAAAAAGAAACCCCAACTAAATCTAAAAAAGGAACTCCAATGAAAGCACCAACTAAAAAGCAACCGGGAACACCAAATGGAGCGGTGACAACCTCGGCCTCTCCATCTAAAAATTCAACAAATACAAATACTGTACAATCAGCAAACTCAAATACAACATCCCCAACCTCTTCATCAGGAACAGGGGCAGAGTCAACTACTTCAGCAAATAATACAAATGTCACTACTACACCACCAGCTAATAATAAGAAAAAAGTAAGATCATCTTTAGATAAACCATCATCTGATTTACCATTAACACCAACGTTACCAGGAAAAAGAGAAAGAAAACCTGTTCCTATTGACCCTCTACTCCAACCAGCTTCATCCAAATCAAACTCACCACCAACTACAACCACCACAACAACCAAACCAAAAGCAGCAACAGCTAAACCAAAAGCAAAAATAACAGCAAAAACACCAGCACAACCTAAAAAAGCAACAAGTAAAAAAATAGCAGCTAAAAGAAAGAGAATAGAAGAGGAAGAAGAGGAAGAAGAAGGAGAGGAAAATGTAGAGGAAGAGGAAGAGGAAATAATAGAAGAGGAAGAAGAAAATATAAACGATAATGATGATGACGAACAGGAAATGGATTATAAGACCAACAACTACAATAATAATATGAGCAATATTGAATATTTAAATGGTGAGCCAAGAGGCTACTATGAAGATGAGGGCAAAAAGAAATGGGTGTGCCCACCTCTAGAATACATTAAAAAAGGCGTCGAAAGATCTTACCTCCAAAATGAATTTAATCTCTCAGACTTGATAGAGTTTTGCAAACTTCACAACTTACCAAAGAATAAAACAAAATCAAAAACAATTAAAATAATCGTTGATTTCATAGAGAGTGGTATTGTTCCACCCCAAGCAGGCGGTAAAAAGAAAAAGAAAGGAGGTGTTACAAATAAAAAATCAAAGGAATCATCAGAGGCCACAGAAACCACTACTGCCTAAAATAACAACCACAACCTATATCAACAATCTTTTAAATAAAGAAAAAAAGGGTAACAAAAAGAAAAAACATCTTTTGTTTATAAATCAAATCATCATTTTTTTTGTGTGTGTAAAATTATTAAATAAGGAAAAAGATAAATATTTTTTTATCAAGTTTTAATTTATTATTTTTATTATATTAATTTATTCCATGGTGCTTTTAAACCTAATTTTTTAATAGTTTTGATTGGTAAGGCATAAACTGGATCAATGGTTTCGACTTGATCAGTAAATTGACCCATTAAAGAAAAACCACTGATTCCAAAATAGGTGTGGAAAACATCTGGTATATCGCCTGGTTTATCTGCAACACCACCAGTTTCATTATCTTGACATTTGAGAATATAATTTTTTAATTTTTCTGTATTGATCCAATTTAATCTGTCAATTGTACACAATGAAGAAATAACCCACCATGAGTAACAAACATCTGATGATTTCTCTGGTCTACCATTTAAACCACCATTTGGGAGCTGTCTTTCACATAACCACCATCCTAATTTGTCAATATCAACTAAATCTAATCTATTTACAAGTGCTAATGCACTGACACATGTAAAAACTATATTTACAAAACAAATATTGTTAATATTGATATATTAACATAAAACAGACTAATTAGTTTACTTACTTTGACCTGCATGTGATTCTGCACCTGGTATAGAACCAAATCCACCATCGAAATTTTTACATCTATCTATAAATTCTACAGCTTTATTAACATTAATTCTATCCAATGCTCCTAATAATGATAAAGTTAAAATTGCAACATATGAAAATCTAGTATCAATTTCTCCCCATTGATCACCAAAAAATGAACCATCCTCTTGTTGTAATTTAACAATATCTAATTTATAAAATAATAAAATTAATAAACACTATTATTATTATTATTATTATTATAACTATAGTTATAATACAAACATTCTATAACTGGGTTTATATCAATTCTATCTAATGAGTCTAATTGAACTAAAATTTGAATTGCACTGAGTGTTGAAAGTAAGTGATCGTCATGTAAAGTATTACCACTAAATCCACCATTTGGTTTTTGACATGATAAAATCCATTGTATAATTTCTTCTTTATCCATTTTTTCTAATGCTCCTAAAAGGTTAAGTGATGTTAATCCCCAATACATTCCATTCATTCTAATATGTTCTGTGACCCAATATTCAAATGTATCTTTTTTAACATCTAAATTTGTAATATAATTTATATGTTTATCTTTTAAAAATGTTGTTGTATGATCGATTTCATTTGTAGTTGTAGTTGCAGTATCTGTCATTTTTTAATTAATTATTAAATATTTATTTAATTTAAAAAACTAAAAAAAAAAAAAAAAAAAAAAAAAAACCCAATTATGATGTTTTGAAAAAAAAAAAATAATTTAAAATTAAAATAATTCAAAATAAAAAAAAAATAAAAAAAAAAAAAATTTTACAAAAATCGGGGGTTTGAAAATTTTTTTTTTAAATTATTTATTTTATTTCATATTTGTTTTTATATTTATCACATATATAATAATAATTAAATTATATTATAATATAAAAAAAAAAAAAACAGAAGATTATATATAGTATTAGTATAAGCATAAATGAATTGAACAATTATTAAAAAAATAAAATAGTTATAATAGTAATAATAATAATAATAATAATATTAAAAATATAATAATATACAATCGAATAGGATAGAGTACTAAAAATGGCATCTAGGTCTATGTATGTTATTATTGCTGTTTTAATATAATAAAACAATAAATTTTTTTCAAATAATATTATTGTATTGTTTTTTTTATTTTTTTATTTTTTTATTTTTTTATTTATAATCTTTATAATTAATAATTTTTCTAAAAAAAAACACTATTATTATTACTATTATATATTATATATATATTTATAATCATATTAATTTATAGAGCAAACAATAATATAGCAGTATCACCCCAACCACAACCTAAAGTTAGAATAAGTAGACCAATTGAAATGTTTTCAGGATGTGGAGCAGGTGTAATGGCATCACTATTTACAACACCTTTGGATGTAATAAAAACAACAATGCAGGTTGATAATCAGAATCATAAAACAATAGTAGGTACTGTAAAGAAAATTTTTGCAAGAGGTGGTTTAAAGAATTTTTATTTAGGTCTAAAACCAACACTTATTGGTCAAATACCATCCTGGGCAGTTTATTTTTCAACATATCAATATTTTAAAGAACTTTTTTCGGCTAAAAACGATGTACACAATATTTTAACAAAGGATTCACCTTTTATTTATATGGGTTCGGCAATAATTGCTGGTGCAACTACTTCAACTTTAACAAACCCAATTTGGCTTATTAAAACAAGATTTATTGTATGGATAATATTAGGTTTATAAACAAAACACTAAAGATCATTTTATTATATGGGTTTTTACTAATAGTTTTTTTTATTATTATTTTCTATTTAGACACAAGAAATGGATGGTCGACAAAAGAGATATAGAGGAGTATTTCATAGTATATCGTCAATTTATCATGAAGAAGGTTTTAGAGCATTATATAAAGGTCTTGGCCCAAGTTTATTAGGAGTTTTGCATGTTGGTGTCCAATTCCCATTATACGAAAAATTTAAAGTTTATTTTGCACATCAAAATAAAAGCGATGAATTAACAGTTGTTCAAATTATGGCAGCTTCATCATTATCAAAAATTATAGCGAGTATTGTAGCATATCCACACGAAGTTTTAAGATCAAGATTACAAGATAGTTCACCAGACTCACCAAATAGGACATATCAAGGCAATTTGGTTCAAATGGTTAAACAAATAATAAGAGAAGAAGGTTGGAGAGGTCTTTACAAAGGAATGGGTGTAAATTTGTTGCGTGTTACACCATCTTGCGTTATTACTTTTACATCTTATGAATTTATTAAAAAATATTTAACCCAATTAGAAATTTTTTAAATAAATAAACAAATAAATAAATAAATAACAAAACTTATAAATAATAATACCATTATCTTTTATTACCAATAAATCAATAGCTCTATTTTTTGGTGGTAATTAATAAACTTTACAGAAAAATAAACTCCTTTGTTAAATCATATCTATAATTTAATAATGCCATTAAATCATTAACTAAACTACAATTTGTATTTTCAAAATATCCCCTTTTTTTTTTAAATATTAGATATCTTTTTTTTTTCCAAATCACATTTTAGTGGGGATATTAAATATCTTTTTTTTATAAACAAAATAAAATACTATTACTAATTTCAATCGTAAATAAAGTATTTGTTACTAAAAATATTGTTTGGGATTTGATTTTCGAAAATAATAAATCTTTACCTGCACTATTTTTTTTATTATTAATCTCTATATTATTAAAATCGAATTAAAAACAAAAACCCTTTAATCAATATATTTATCTATATGGTAAATAACTGGTATATCTTTAGAAAAATATTATCAAAAAGTAGATTCTAAATTTGAATTAGAAATATTAGCAAACTGAATGATGAAATTATAAACTACAAAATTTAAACATCTCACAAACTTTCAATATCTAAATTTCTATATATCTTTTTTTCTAATAATACTCTTTTATGTAAAATGAAAAAAAAAATTGGAATTTAAAAAAAAAAAAATAAAAAAAAAGATAGATAATCTTTTTTTATTTGATTTAAATCACATAAATAAAGATAAAGAGGGTGATTATCAAATAATTTATTTTCATTAATTTAATATAATTTTTTGTTGTTTGAAAAAAAAAAAAAAAATTATTTTAATCAATTTAATTTCAATCATGAAAAAAAAAAATCTAATTTTTAAAAAAAAAAAAATTTAAAAATAGTTTTTAGAGATAGAGGGGGTGGTATTAAATTAGCTATTTTTAAAAAAAATAAATCACCCACATGTTCTCTTACATATCACATCATTCATGCACTAGTTTTTGAGCCTTAATATAACCCCCATACAAAAATTTAAAAAAAAAACAAATTTTCAATACTTACAATGGTTTGATGCGACTGAATTCTTTTTTTTATTTTTTTTTCAATTTTCAATTTAATTTTTTAAAATTTAATTTTGATTTTTAATATTAAAACCAACACACTCACACATATACCCTTGGTACTTTATTAATTTTTTTTAAATTATTTTAGAGTCTAAAAAAAACTCCATTCATAGAGCTCTCCATCCTCCTTTTACTTTTATGATAATTTATAAAATACCCCCCTCCTCTGCAGTCTTACATAAAAATATACTCAATAAAACAAAAAATTATCTACACGAGTTTTCTTTTAAAAAAAATAATAATTAATAAAAAAAAAAAGTTCAATCAAAATGGATGGTTTAATTTTAAATTAAAAATTAAAAAAAAAAACAAATTGAATTATGTGAATTGATCGTTACAAATTAGTACATATAATTGTATTTATACATATAAAATAGATAGTAGATTAAGTTGTTTAAAAATTATATATATTATTGAAAAAATAATATAAAAATACTCTAATGTTTCCTAGGAATTTAAGAAGAACAAAATACCCTATTAGTACAAAAACACTTGATTTTTGATGATAACATTCATGAAATTGTATTTATTTGTACAAATATATTTAAAAATAAAGAGGTAGGAGTAAAATTATTTAATTTTGAAAATATATTTTCTTTTATCTTTAATATTATAATTTTGAAATCGTTTAATATGTTTCCATACCCCATAATTTTTATATTGATTGTTGTCGCCCACCCACACAAAAAAAAATCTTTTTGACTTAATTAAAAAAAAAAAAAAAAAAAAAAACATCTCTCAAATCCATAATAAAATATATATAATATTATTAAACAACACACATGGTACACTCTCGCGCTCCTTTACATATAATAAATAACCATAGATGCATAGATCTGTCAAAAAGAAAAATTTAATATGTGTGTTTTTTTATTTTTTTAATTTGATGGTAGTAGTAGTGCATTCAAAAATAAACTTTCCAACAATTAAAAGACACAAGAAATTAAAAATCAAATAATGATACAAAAAAAAAAAAAAATGGGGTTGATATCTCTAGTATGATCTCCTTTTTTTACAGAAAAAAATTTTTATTATTTTAAAATTTAAAAAAAAATTTTAATCATAAAAAAATTCAAAAAAAATATAAATTAAATAATTTTGAATCATTTTTGATTAAAAACTATAGTTGAAAATAAATAAAAATTAAATTATATTTGTGCTGTTTTTTTAAGAAATATATAAATAAATTCAATATATTTTATACATAAATTATTAATTTAAATTTAATTAACAAAAAAAAAAAAAAAAAAAGGTTCAATTTTATTCCACCCCACCATCATCATAACAACAACAATAAAAATCAATTAAAATATATAAAAATCATAAAAATCAAAAATGAATAAAGTCAATATTTTATCAGATAATATAATTATTAAAATTTTTTTAAATTATTTTTTTGACTCCAATTGCATAACATCATGGGATACTAATAATAAAGAACGTTTAAAACTTCAATTAGTTTGTAAAAACTGGTGTAATTTATTAAGAAACTTTTGCAAATCTTTATCATTATCAAAGAGAAACATTATCCCATTATACTATAAAATTGAAAACTTTCAAAATATAAACCATTTAGAAATATTGGATGTAGAATCCCCCGAAATTGTCACAAAGATTATATGTAATATTATTGTTAACCCAAACATGAAGCAACTATCATCAATAGATTTATCTCTATCAAACCTATCAAACATTCACATTAGATATATTTTAAATGCATTGAAATTTAATCAAACTATAAATGATATTAATTTAGAGGGTAACCCATTAGGTGATCAATCTATATATGATTTATATTGCCTATTAATAAATAATAATAATATAAAATATTTGGATTTGCAAAGTAAGTATTAAAAATTATAAAATCAGATAAAAAAAAATATTAATTCATTTTTTTTTTTTTTAGATTGTGATTCTAAAAATGGTTTAGTAGTAATTGGTAATTTACTTGCAAATAAAAATTCAATTTTAGGCTTAAATTGGTCTAGTAAGTAATAATTTGACTATAAAATTATTAATTCCATTTTATTAATTTTTATTATTTTTTTTTTTTTTACAACAGATAACGACTCTAATAATTGTATAGATTTTTTATGTGAAGGTTTAAAAAATAATAATACCTTGACATCACTTTCACTAAGTGGTTGCAACATCGATGAATTGGGTGCTATAAGTTTAGGTGAAGCTTTAAAAACAAATAAATCATTAAGATATTTAAATTTATCAAGTAAATATTATAATTATAAATATTTAATTTAAATACTATATATTAATAACTTTATTTTTTAATAGATAATCAATTTGGTGACATTGGTTCCTTACACTTGGCTTTAATTTTAAAAAATCATCCAACTTTGCAATCTTTGGACTTATCTTGTAATAGTGTCTCAATAGAAAATGTAGAAAAAATTAAAATTATATTTGCAAACACCGGAATCCATTTAAAAATTTATCAAAACAATTTTAATAATAATTTTTTAATAATGTCAAATAATAATAACAATAGCAACCACACAAATGGAGAAGATGAATATTTTTTTGATGAAAATGATAATATGGAAGTAAACTCTGGCAAAATGTATGATTATCTATCATCCCATCAAATGATCATATCATAAATCAAATATACTCATATATAGATAAATAAATAAAATATTGTTTTCTATTTTTTTTTTTTAAAATATATAAAAAAAAAAAAACCATTATCAATTTTAAAAAAAAAAAAAAAGATATTTACATAAAATTTTTAAATTTTTAAAAAACGATTGTAATAATACTATCCAATAAAAGAAGATAAAAATAATTTTTTATAATATATAATAAAATATAATATTATATATAAAAAAAAAAAAAAAAAGCACTTGTTATAATATTATAATAGGAATAATATATTAATATTATTATTTGTATATTAGTTCTTAGAAATAAAAAAAATAAAAATTAATTTATTTTTTTTTTTAAATATAATTTATTAAATTTTTTTTTTTTTTTCTTTATCTATTTTTTTTTTTTTGTTGTTGTGTTATAATTTTTATATGTTGAAGGGAGGATTCTTTTTTTTTACAAACAATTATTTTCTTTTTATAATTTTTGGTTTTTGATTATTGATTTTGATTTTTGGCTTTTGGATTTTGGTTAATGTTATACAATTTTCATTTTTTTGATAGCTTCACCAGTTACGCTATCTTCTTCAGGAATGAATGTTGAGATTTGTTTTCTTTTTTTATCTTCGGTATTAACATTGTGTTGTTGTAGCTGTAGGTATTGTTGATATGAGTCATTTGTTACTTGGTCAATGAAATGATCACTTTCTATACTATCATCTGAACTGGACAACTCTATTGGAGATGACGATGATGAGAATTCACTTGTGTTATTATTATTGTCGTTGTTGTTGACAAGATTTAATTTGAAATCTCTGAAAAAAAATTCACTTGGGGTATCAAAATTTTCCAAATTGTTATTATTGTTGTTATTGCTATTATTGTTATTAGCACTGTCTAAATTATTATTTTTATCTGGTATCTCTGTGTTATTATTATTTTCTAAATTGTTATTATTTATAGTATTGTTTTCGTTTAAAATTGTATAACCCCAATAATTTACTCTGTCACGACAATACTTTAGAGGTTTGGTCATATAATGGTTGGTATATATATATTAAAAAGAAAAATTTGATTTTAAAAAATTAAATATTTTTTTTTTTTTAGTATGGAAAAAAGTAAAAAAAAAAAAACAAATAAAAAAATAAAAATTGGTTGATTTATTGGATTAATGAAATGAAATGGTGATTATACTATACTATTCTTTTTATTTTTTGATTTATTGAAGTTAAAAAATGAAGATAAAAAATAAAAATAAAAATAAAATAAAAAGAAAAAAAATAAAAATAAAAAAATTAACTATTTTGGTTATTTTTAAAAAAGAAAAAAAAGAAATTAAGTAAGCAAACGAGCGTAATTATAATTTAATACTATTATTTTTTTTATTTATTATAAATAATATTATTTATGTAGTTATTAAAGTAATGTTGCACGTGCACTTTGGATTATTTTTTTTTTTTAATTTATAAATTTATGTGGTTTTTTTTTTTTTTGAATTTTTTTTTTTTTTTTTCAATTTATTATTATTTTTATTGTTTTTAATATTAAAAATATTTTTTTGATAGAATCATCAAAAAATTTTAAAATTTAATATTTTTTTCTTTATTTTTTTTTTTAATTTCAACTTATTTTTTATATATGTATTTTTTCCAAATTTTATAATGTAAAAAAAAAAAGGTGTGGAGTTGCGATATTTTCAATATCGTCCAAGAGGTTAAAGTTTTTTTTTTTTTTTTTTATTCATTTTTTTTTTTTTTTTTTTTTTTTTTTTTTTTTGGTTTTATTGAGGGGTTTGGGGTTCATTATTGGCGGTTATTCTAATGATTTTCCCTTAGTTTTAACAACAACTTCCAAAAATTAATAAAAAAATAACCCAACAATATTTTAAAAAAAATTTAATTAAATTTAATTCCAAAATAAAATAAAATAAAATGAAATAAAAAAATAAAAACCTATAAAATAAATAATAGTTTTAAATCTTAAAAATCAAATCAAATCAATATTTTTTATTTTCACTACCAATAATTCATTTATATAAATAAAATGGAAAAGTTATAAAAAAATAAACAAAAATAAAAAAATAAAAAAATAATAAAAACAATAAAAAAAAAAAAACAACAGATAACTTATTTTTTTTTTAATTTTCCAAATTTTTCAATTTTTTTTTTTTTCTTTTTCTTTTTCTTTTTATTTTTTTATTTTTATTTTTCTTTTTTTTAATATTTTTTTTTTTTTTTTTGAAATATCTGGTAGATTTTCAGTTATCAATTTTTATTTTCATATAAAGCATTTCCATAGAAATCAAATAGTTTTTTTTTTATTTTTTTATTACTTTTTTTCATTCAAATATATAATGAACAGTGACCAATCATCAGCAAAAAGAAGAATTCAAAATATTCAATCTCATATTGTAGCAGGTGCAAAAAAAGAAAGTAATAAAAGCAGTAGTAATGATTTATACGATTGCATTGTAGTGGGTGGTGGAATTATTGGATCATCTGCATGTTATCAAATAGCAAAAGATGGATTAAAGGTATTAATGTTGGAACAATTTAAACAATCTCACGACTATGGTTCATCACATGGTGTAGGTATTATTATTATTATTATATATGTAAACAGTTATAATAATATTTAGTATTGATTTTAAATTATTATCTTAGGATGGAAGAATTATTCGTTTTTCATATCCAGAAACTGTATATATTGAATTAGCAAAATTAGCTTATCCATTTTGGAACGATATTGAAAAGGAATCAAACACTAAATTACTCCACACTACTGGTGGTTTGGATTTTGGAACTAAGGATCACCAAGCATTATTGGATCTCATCGATTCTTACAAGAGACACAACATACCATACGAAATATTAAACAAAAAAGATGCAGAGGTAAGATTCCCACAATTTGAATTCAAAGAAGACGATTTAATTATTTTTCAAAAAGATAGCGGTGTTTTATATGCTACCAAAGCAGTCAATTCAATGTACGCCTTGGCAAAGAGATTTGGGGCTACAGTCAAAGATAGTAAAAAGGTATTGAGAATAAAGGTAGAATCTAGAGATCTCATTACTGTACTTTGTGAAGATCAATCCGTATACAAGACTAAAAAGATAGTTTTAGCATGTGGTGGCTGGACTAATGAATTACTATATCGTTCGCAATTGGATTTAACATTACCAGTCGAAATTACACAAGAAAAGGTATTCTATTGGGTTCCAAAAGAAAATGAAAAAGCATCATCAATCGATTTTACTCAATACAAGAATCCAGTTTCAATCTATTACGATAAAGAAGAAATATTTTATTCACTACCACAAATCGATATCAGAGGAGTAAAGATAGGTTACCATCACTCTGGTTCAGTTCTCCACAAAATGGCAGATAATCACGACAATAAGCCAGTGTATAACGAAAATAGCTTAAATAAATTAAAAAAGTTTGTCAAAAACTATATGCCAAATTTAAACAACGAAAAAGAGTTTCACAGTGTTACATGTCATTACACAAATACACCAGATTGGCATTTTATCATTGACAAGCACCCACGTTTCTCAAATATTGTAATAGCATCAACTTGCAGTGGCCATGGTTTCAAATTTGCACCTGCCATTGGTAAATTACTTTGTTTTTTAGTTAGGGATAAGGAAATTCCATTCCCAACTGACGAGTTCCTTTTAAATAGATTTAAAAATAAAGGTTTTGTTAAAAGAATATCAGCCTAAAAATAAAATTAAAAAGCAATAAAAAAGAAAAAAAATAAATAAATAAAAAAGATTTGTTTTGTTGTTTAAATATCATACACATTTATTTAAATTTTATTAATTAGTTCCATGAATCTTCGCCACTACTATCTCCATAGTCATCTTGAATTAAATCTTTGTCTTTGGGTCCTTGGTCATCGTCGTTGTTGTTGTTGTTGTTGTTGTGAATTGTATGGTAGTCGTCATCGTTGAGTTCGAATGTGAGTTCTTCATACCTACTGGTTTCATTTAGATCCACATATGCACCGTCATCGTCGTCATCTAAGGAAATGGCTGTGGTGGTGGCTGTGGTGGTGGTGGTGGTGTTTTTCTTTAAATTTTCGTCTTCTTGTAATATTTCATACTCTATATCAAGATCGTCGTCGTCAATAATAAAATGCTCCCCCTCTTCTTCGAATATTTGGTCATTAAGTTCGTTGGTATCTATTATATTTTGGTCATGATCGATATCTTCTTTTTTAATATTTTCGACTGTTATTGAGTCATCTGTAATTTCGATATAGTTGGTATCTGGTTCTATGATTTTCATTTTATTATCTTTTACATCTTTTAAAACTGTATCCATATTTAAATTTGTTAGTTTTTTGTAAATTTTATAATGAGCATGAAATACCTCATAAACCCACAACGCTTCCCTATTTGGTTTATTTGAAAAGTTTATTGAATGGACTATAGATGCTGTAAAGTGGTTGTTCTCGTCTTTTTCAAGAGATACTCGAAGTAGGAGATAGTCACCTACATTAAATGAAATTTGTTCTGGAAGGCTGTCTTTACTTAGTGACATAGCAGAGGTACCATCATCAATGCAAATGGTGTCGTTTTGGACCGATACTGATGAAACATAACCTTGAACTAAAATTGAATTTACAACCATATCACCATATTTAAAAATCCATTGATCTTCTTCATTTTTTTCATTTTTAAATAAATCCAACTATAAATAAATGAATGAATAAATAAATGAGTATTATTATTTTAATAATAAACTTATCGAAAAATTAAATTTCTAAAAATAAAACCAAAAATTACTTACAAAAGATAAAAAAACTTTAACACACTCCATTAAAGGGAATAGTTATAAATAAATAAATAAAATAACTGAATTTGGTTTTTTATTACTTTATTAATTCATTAAATGATTTTTTATTGAAAATATAAATAATAATATAAATTGGAAAAAATAATAAATTCAAAAAAAAATATAAAAAAATAAAAAAAAAAATTAAAATTTAAAAAAATAATTTTTTTTTTTTTTATAATTTCCAATTATTTTGATTTATATGTAAATACAATTTGAAAAGATATATATGTATATTTTATTTGAAAATATTTTTAAGTTTGTACAATATAAAAAATTAATATAATACATTTTTTATTTTAGATATAAACTTATTTATTTATATTTTAAAAAATAAAATAAAATGTCAAATTTATTAAATAATGCAAATAATACAAATAATAACAATAATATAAATAACAATAATATCAATGTTAGCAATAATAATAGCAACTATAGTAATAGTAATGATATAGATAAATTGATATCATCATCTATTTTTGGACAGATTTCCATTAATTTAGTTATATCATGGTTATCTTCCACAAAAACCAATAAATATAATTCCTATAATGATGTATGTTTCCATTCAGATTTAATGACATCATTTCCTTAAAACTATATATTTACATTATTTTCATTCGCATTATATAGTTTCAATCATTTAAAGAAGTATTTCATATATCACAAACAGCATATTCGAATTTTTTTATAGATTTTTTAAAGAGTCACTATTCTGTATTTTTAGAAACTCAAAACAATGAAATTTCAAATTTATCAAATAACAACGAAAATAATAGCTCAGTATTTGCATCACAAGTTTTACAATCCCAAAATAAACAGCAACCAACTATAAACCAAACAACACCACAGCAAAAACAATCGGCACCAAATGACTTTCCGCCTTTAGCAGCACAAGGTAAAAAAGCACAAAACAATAAAAATAATAATGAAACAAAAGCAGACTCTCTTGGTTATAGATTTCCAAATATTTCAAAAACTATTACCAAAGCATCTGTTGATAATACTGTTGAAATTTATAGCACAATTTTATATAATCGATTATATCCAACCACATTATCTACGGAATTAACATGGATAATAAAATATTTAACTACTTTACAAATAAATATATTTAAATTATCAAATTTTTCAATAAATAAACCAAAGAATAATAATTCAGATAATAATAATTTAGATAATCAACTATTTGAATCAATTGAATGGGCAATTGCATTCATTGTTAAATTAATTAAAAATATTAAACCATTATTTCAAGTTTTAGAGCCAAAATTCTTGCAATCACTATCCGAAAATCATCTGTAAGTAAAAATGTTTTTTAAAAATACAAAAAAAGAAAAAACACAAAATACTTATTATAATATTTATTTTTAAAATATAGATTAAAACACTATGATGTTGAATTATGTAAAAGTTTAAATGATATTTCATATTATCAAATTCAAGAAAATACATTGAATAGCCATAAGGATAAAGGTACGTCAACTATGAAGATAGCATCACCATTTAGAACTGAAATGGACTTTCAAAAAAAATTAAGAAAAAGTGAAGATGCAGGTATACTTAGTAATAGAGAGAAATCTTTAGATCAGTTCTACGAAATCATGAGAAATTTTCAATTAGATTACAAGTTCCACAATAGCAGCAATAACCAGCTTCATGGCAATAGTGATCAATTTGAATATAAGACTAAAGAATTTTTTAACCTTTTACATAGAGGTAATATTTGGTGGTTTTGTGATTTATTCATCGACCAATTCATTCAGTGCAAATTTAATGATTATAGTAATACAAGTAACCCCACTCCAAACAGTACCAACACTAATAATAATAGTAGTAACAATAGTGTTTCAATTGCTCCAAACAAAACACCTAGTTTAGCAGAGGCCATTGCTTTAACACTAACTCCTTTAAATCCTAAATCTGTAAACTCATCTACTTTCACACCATCCACTACTACACAACCAGCTGCATTAGTTCCATCAGATAAAATGGCTTTACTTCAAAAAAGATTTGATCAAGTATCACCACATAAATCAACAAGTGCTGCAGCTATAATCGCTTCGAACAATGGTATTCAAATTCAATCGAATCAACAACCTTCACATCAACACCAAAATAACCAACATCAACATCAACAAACTCAATATACTGGTAACCATCATCATCATAATAGTCATCTTAATAATCACACAAACCAATCATCAAATAAAGAGAATTTAGTTAATCAACAATTTACACCAAATTCTCAATTAAAAAACAATAAATCAAACAATAGTAGTAGCAATACAAAATCACTATCTTCACAACAACAACAACAGCAGCAACAACAACAACAAACACCGTCACAACAACAACAGCACAATGAAAATTTACCAATTTATATGAATAAATTAGTGCAACAATTAATTTTAAAATTCTCAAACAAAGAAAGATTCTTTATTAATATGATCATAAACTATGATAATAATACATTCCATCATCATTTATCATCAAGTATTATCGAAAAGATGCAGGTTCTTCAAACTTGCCAGTGCTCAAATTCAAATCATTACCACAGCGATTTCTTTGAAAGAATTTTAAATTTAAAATCTCTCTCCAGATTACTTAGCTTTATATACTTTATTCCCACAGCCACATATACTAGTTATAATATGTCGTTGCTAATTCCAAATTTCAATGAAATTGCAAAGCGTTCACAATTTATTCCACCTCCAATTGACTTAAAATCTTTGTTGTTTTCAGGTATCCAACACGAAAACCTTTCAATTATTCTACCAATAGTTTTAGAATTTTTAAAGCTTCGTGATACTGTAGGAAGAGAGAATCATTACTTTAGTGAAGCTATCAACATCTTGAAGAATATCTACAACTTACCAATGCTTTTGGCAACACCTATCCAACCAAACTATTCTTTTTCTTCTTTATTCATTCTTTTTGAATTGGAACAATTTTTTGAAGAGCTTTCAATAAATTCGCATCAGTTCAACCATGTGGCATTACCTTTCAAAGTTCAATCAAATAACGCAGGTTCATTGTTATCTCCAACATCACCAACCAAACAACTAAACAATAGTAATAATACTAGTACACCATCTCAAACCCCACCAACCACTCCAACTAAACAAAATTCATCATCTACTCCAACGACACCAAGTAAAAATAGTAGTAACACAACACCAAAAAAAACTCCATCAAACAATAATAACAGCACTAATAATAACTCGTCCAATAATAGTATACCATTAATCGATAATAACTCAAAAGTTGGTTTCAATTTACTCTGGTCCAATACTACTGGTTATTACAGTAGCAATAACTATGGATTTAACGAAATTAAATTGTTACTCAATGAACCAATACACTATCAGGTAGAATTCCAAAAGCAATTAAAATTAAAACAAGAGCAATATGAAAAAGAACAACAAGCAAAGAAAGAGCAACAAGAAAAAGGAACTTTGGCCAGTGATAGTGATAAACCAACCACCATCTCCTCATCTGCACCACCAACAAAAACTTTAATTCCAAGACGTATTACTCCAATGAATAAAAAAACAACAACCACTATTATCTCCAATAATATCGATGAAATGTTTAATGAATCACCATTACAACACCAATTAGAATGGTGGTATTTTTGGAACCATCCATCAATTGCTAGAATTTCAAATTTATTATCTGAAACTTTGTTACCATTTTTTTCAGAGATGATTTTCAATTTATCAGTACCAATTATTGTTGGTCATTCAAATAGCTATATAGAGAAATCATTATCAGGCGCAAGTTTATTACAAGCAGCTGTTCATTCGGAATCTAGCTCAACTCCAAATCAAATTGCTACTAGCAATTTATTAGATTCAAATAGATTGCAGTCTTTAATCACCTTAATTTACAACGAAGTTAGAACCAATGCATCTAAAAAAGTTGAATCCTATTGCAAAGAGAATATTAAAACCTTAATTTTACTCCTTAGTCCTATGGGTATTGATGAAACAGTATTAAATGTTGGTACCTCAATTATTTGCAGACATTTGAAGAAAATGGCAGAGAATATTTGTCTTGTCCAAATTTTACAAAAGGTCGAAATTCTTTGTATCGAAATCATCACCAGAAAACAAACTATCAATGCAGCCAATAGAACCAGTACACTACAGCAATTATTAAGTTTATCGCTATCAGATATCAACAGAAACAACTCCCAATCATTATCTTTAGCAGGTATAAAGAGTCATCACATTGCCAAGATCGAAGAGAACTTTAATGTTAGGATAATCTGTAAATCAATGGAGGAAATTCAAATAAGATTAGAGCCATTCATCAACGATATATTTAATGTTCAACAACAATATTCAAATGAACAGCAACAACAACAATTAGCTAAACTAAAAAATGATATTCAAATTTCAGCAGAATCTATATTTGTAAAAATTTCAGATTACATTAAACAGGTAGCAAGCGACCAAAACTTTGAAATGGTTGAACTATCTAAAGCACTACCATCACTATTTAGACTAGTAATAGATATCATCACCAACAATATAATCTTGAATAATTTTTATCAATATAGTAATTCAATTATTGACGAAATAAGCAAGGATAAACCCAATAGCAATGATAAAGATGATAAGGATGAACAAAACAAGTCAAAGACCAACAGTACCTCTTTAGCTGATAATATCATATTCAATGTTGACCTTAACCCTGCCACCAAATTTAATGATTCAATAGTATTACCAATCAACCAAAATATTTCAACAACTTTCACACAAACCACATTAGAAATTATAAAAAGATTTAATGAAGTCCAACACGATTTTATGGAGCTTTTAACAAACTACCTATTACAACCATCAAAAATATTCTCATTAATTAATCAAACTATTCAGTATATTAAAATTACCCAACAAAAGAAAAGAGAATTAAAAGAAGAGTTAGAGAAGGACCCAGAGTTGGAAAATGATTTAAATTATATTGGTAAGGCAAATATTGGCAATAGTATCAGCGAGGAACAATTAAAGAAAGATCAAGAGATATTAACAAACAAAATCCAAAACTGCTTCGATTGGCTACATAGCTTTGATTGGTTGTGCCTTACATTGATTCAAGAGAATGTGATAACTATAGTCTCTTTGGAAAGCTCATGGATTAATTTATTTGATAGATGTATCACATTTATCTTTGAATATGACGTCGAATTACAAAAACAACTGTTACGATCTCAACCACAAATAACCACAAATAGCCACAACAATCATCCAACATTAACACCACAGCAATCACAACAACATTTAAATCACCTCTTAATTGGATCGAGTGTATTAAGATCATTCTTAAAATACATCTGTCAATTTGTTTCGTTTTATCATAATTATTTTACAAATTTTGCACCTAAATCAACAACAAATACAGCCGTTGCCTCACCATCGCCAGCAGTAGGAACAACTCCAACACCAACAGTTAGTAAACAACACCAACACGATCCAATGTCATTCTTTTTATGTATTGATAGCTTTTTACAACGTTTAATTAAATTTAAAAGTCGTGAAAAGTTTAGATATAATCAAACTTTTATTGATCAAATTGATAAATGTATACTATATCTTGAAAAATCAATTAATGTTTTATTTCCAACATTTAAATAAATAGTTCAATAATTAATTATATTATATTGTGCACTATCAAAAGCATTTTTTTTTTTTTTTTCATTTTTTTTTTCATTTTTTTTTATTTTTTTTTTTATTTTTTTTAATTTTTTTTTATTTTTTTTCTTTTTTTTTTTTTTAAATTTTTTTAAAATTTTTTTTATTTTTTTTTCATTAAATTTGATCAACACAATCATTTTGTGTGTTTTTAAAATAAACAATGATTTCATCAGTCACCAAATCATCCACTTTAATTGTAAATATCAAATATTAAACAAATACGATGACGATAATAGAAAAAAAGAAATTTCATACAATAGGATTACCATAGCAATAATTCAATATTTACAATGACAATACTATTAATCGTCATTTATTATTTAATTACCATTTCAAGAAATACTAACATATCTATAATAAAAATAATACCTTTTTTTAATTAAATAAAAAATAATTTAGAATTCATCAAGCAAATTAATTAATTCAAAATCATTCACTACAACTGCCTCAAACACAGTTGGTAAAGATTATATTAAATCTATTTATGGTCAATTAAGAAGAAAAAGAGATAGAAGAGGTTTAGTTAATGTCGAAAATTTTGAAGAAAGTGAAATTACAACTTTCCCAAGATCAAGAGAAGGTTTAGATTATGATTTAAATTGGACTTTAAATGGATACAGTATTACACCATCAGAATCAGCCTATCGTAATCCAAGATTACCATTACTTTTCCAACAATCAAATGGTAAAACTGATAAGAACTTCACTTTAACTGTCAATCACAACCAATCAGATAACAGCGGTAACGTCACCAACTATTACCTCGATGAAGCAGTCGCCTCAAAGAATTCAAACTCTGCTATATTATCAATTCCAAACTATAAAGAAATTTTAGAAGAGGTTAAATCACACATTTCCTCATCAAAAAATATTTACGTTCATGATGCCGCCGTTGGTAGTAGTCTTGGTTCAGAAACAACTATTAGAGCAGTTACTAACGATTCAGTCTCATCATTATTCCTTAAACACCTTTTACCAAACACCACCCCAATCGATGTTTCAGAATTTAAACATAACCTTACTCTCTATTTTGTTCCAAACTATCAAATCCCAAATGCAGATAAATTAGGTTTAAAAACTTCATCTTTCAACATTATTGATGTTAAAAGAGGTATTGCCGTTGTCTCTGGTGTTCCATCAACTGAAAACGTTAGAAATGTTATCACTGCTATCTCCTCATCAACTTTCGCTAAAACCAACCAAGATTCTTTAACCTTATCTGCTGATATCTATAGTAATGGTAAATCTGCTCCAGTTTTAGTCTTTAGCGAAGATGGTTTCCTTTTAAATAAAAATTACAATAGTGGTAAAGTTGTCTCACAAGGTTCAATTTGGTCTGCTGATGGTGTTTCACGTTTATACAATTCAATTACTTATAATTTCGAATCAATTGCCAAAAATCAATAGTAATTATTATATTTGTTATTATTATTATTATTATTATTTTTATACTAACTATATTTTATTATTAATATTAATATTAATATTATTATTATACAGCGATTTAATTGAAAAATTCAGTGATAAAAAAATTAACACAACTGTTCCAGTTAAATTTGAAACCAACCATTACAATCAACCATCATCAATTGTTTTCATTATTAAAGATACCTCAAGTGCCATTCCAGCTTTTGCTCAATTAACTGGTGAACAAGCTAAAAACTATTTTGTTTCAGGTTTTGTTGGTAATTCAGATTTTGTTCCATTCTTTAATAAAGGTCAAAATACCACTGAAAACGCTAAAACCGCTGAAGTTTTTGAAAGTAATTTATCAATATTCATATCACCAAAAATTGCCATATGATTACTAATATTTTTTATTTTTAGATTTAATTAAGGCCAATAATACCAAAGTTTATATAATTAATCCAGCTGCCTTCGATCAAGAAAGTGAAGTTGATAACCTTCTTGGTTCAGTTGTTTCAGGTAAAGTTGCCGATTCAACTAACTCTGATGTCTACAATACTTTATCACCAATCAAAGTTCCAACTGCTAAAGATCAAAAAGTGTATGTTGTTTTTTTTAAATTATTATTTTTTACTGTATACAGTTTAACTAATACCCATTTCTTTTTATTTATACAGTGCTGATGTTAAAAAAGCAGTTAAAACATTCGAAACCAAATTAAAATCAAAGGTAGAAAGTCTTTTACAATAAAATAGCTTTTATTAATAATATATATTCATTATCTGGTAATAATAAACAATTCAATCATAAATTTTTAAATGGTTTTTTTTTAATAATAATAAAAAAAAAAAAAAAAAAAAAAAAAAAAAGAAAAAAATAAAAGTATAAAATAATTTATAAATATAAAAAATATATGATTGTTATTTAAATTTATTTAAATATACGTTGTTTTAAAATAAATAGTATTTATGGTTTTTTTTTATTATTTTTAATTTTATATTTTTTTTTTTTCTTTATCCTAGTTTGAGATTGGTAATGGTCTCTTGTTCCATACATTTGAACCATCTTTGATATCAATCTTTTTTGAGTTATTGAAATCATCAAAGTCGACCTTACCAGAGTCTTTACCATGGAAATTCTTTGAAAGTTTGATTAATGGTTCTGAAAAATTGATTTCCTTCTTTTCAACAAAATTATCACTTAATCTTTCCATTGCATCTTTAATTTTAGTTTGTTCATTTACTAAACCACGGTTATACCCTCCAGCCTATAGATGTTTAAAATAAAGTAAATTTTTAATTAATAAAAAATTAAGGTGAAATTTTGAAAGTTTAAGAATTACCTTAACCATTAAATAACCAAGAGCTGGTTTCATTACATTGAAATAACCATAGTTAAAGAATGGAATATTTTGAATTATACTTTCTAAATCTGTGATTTCTTCAAACTATAAAAAAGAATTAGTATATAATAAAAAATAAAAAATGAAAAAAAAATAAAAATTATAAAAAATAATTTAAATACATACTCTTTTAATTTTACCTTCTTTATTTTTATGAATATTAATCATCATTCTATATTGAATTTTAAACCATGGAAGGAAATTGAAACAGATTTCTTGTTTGGTATCTAATACCATGTTGTGAGATGAGTGGGTGTATTTATAGTCAACAATTCTTAATTCTTTAGCATATACTCCAATTGCTTTAAAAATTTCATGGATTTGATCTATACCTTTAACTTTAAAACTTGGTACATTGAAAGCTTCAAAATCGCAATCAACTGCAAAGTTTTTATTAATAAGTTCAAGGTTTGGTCTGGTTGAGTATAATTTAATTATATCATTAATTTCTACCATTTTTTATTAGTTATATATATTTGATTTGAATAAATTATTTAAAAGAAAAAAGGAAAAAGAAAAAAAAAAAAAAAATAATTAAAATTATTTTTAGAAAAAAACAAAAAAAAAAGTAAATTAATAGTAATTAAATAGTAATTAAATAAATTAAAATTAAAATAAAATAAAATTAATAATAAAAAATAATTAATAATAAAAATAATATAATAGATGTGGTATTTTAATGCAGATAAAATAATTACACACAAAAAAAAGAAACAAAAATAATTATGATAGTAATTTATTGTATTTTATTTGATTTGGGAATAGTGATTATGTAAATTATATAAAAAAAAAAAAAAATTGAAATAAAAAATAAAAGAATAAAAATTATTTTTTTGATATAGAAAAAATTATTTATGTTTAATAATTATTTTTTAATTTTTTTTTTTTCTTTTTTGAGCTTTAAATTAAAAAATTTCTATTTGTTTATTATCAATACGTTCTCATTTTACCCTTTTAAAAATTTTTTTTTAATTATTTTAATCGATTTATAATAATTATAATATAATAGGAATAAAATATTAAATTAATTTTTTATTTTTTTTTAAAAATAGGGTGTTTGTGTGTGAATGAAAAAAATTAAAAATTAAGTTGAGTGAATGAATTTTTTTCTTTTTTGGTGGTATATATGCAGCGTGGGTATAGTGTTTTTAATTTTAATAAAAAAACAAGGTTAATGTAGATGGAATATAATGTAAAAAAAAAAAAAATTAAAAACTCACACTTAACCACACCCACATTTATCTACCAACACCCACTTTCAAATTCATTTTTAATAATATAATACATTTAAATACTATTCAGTGTATGCTATAATAATTTATAATTGCAATCTTTAATTTTTTTTCTTTTAATCACTCCAGATAGAAAACCAAATATGATCTCCAATTCATGTAATTTATTTTTTTGTTAAACCACATTTTTTTTTTTTTTTTTAAAATAGGATCTCAATCATCAATTTGGCTTATATTTAAACAGAGGTATAATTTGGTTCTTTGTATTTCTAATTTATATTTATTTGAATTTTTCAAAGATTTACATAAGATTATATAAAATTATATTTTTAAATTTTTTTTTTTTTTTTTTTTTTTTTTTTTTTTATTATTCATTTTATTTTTTTATTACTATTTACAACAATAAATTTTTTAGAACAAAGAAAAATAAAAAAGTCAAAAAAAGTTTAGAGGTAAGTTTAAATAAATTCGAATTTATTAAATTTAGATTTGTTTCAACTGAAAAAATAAAAGTATCAGTTAAAAATTTTTTTTTTTTTTTTTTTAAGAGGTTTTTTTTTTGTTTAAAACACATTTTTAAAAAATTAAAATATTTCATTGTTTTTAAAAGAAAAATGTATTATATATTTAAAACAATAATAATAATTTTCTTTTTTTTAATTATTAATTGTAAAAATATATATTGTAAAAATAATTATATAGATTATACAATCAAAATTAATATAGATTTGTATTCACAAGAAAATTATTCAAATCAAGAATGTGGCGGTTCAATTGATATTACTGGTAAAGATATTACAAAATATCCTCCATGTAAAACTTTTCTTGATGCAGGAATTAGATCATTACAGGTTATAAATGAAAATCCCGAAACTATTATAAAATCATTGGAGTTTATTGTAGAAAATTTGGAAAATGAAGTTTGGCCAACTGTTTATGTTACCTCTCCACTAGATATAATGAACTATTGTACTTTTGAACTAAAGTTTGCAAACCAGACACTTCAAAATACAGATTATTTTATTGTTATCGATGGGTTATCAATGAACCCAAGCGGAAATAGTTTTTTTAGATATATCTCATTCGAAAATAACGATCTGTGCCCAAAGAAACAAGTAACTTTAAGAAATCTATATCTATTTGGCTTTGGCAGTAGCCATCCAATTAACAACGTAGTAAGAAATATAAAGACTTCAAATTTAGAATTTAATTTTCAAAGAATTCATTCAATGTTTACAACTTTTTTTAATGGTTGGGCCAACGATGGTATTATAGAATTTAACCAAAACGAAAAACCTATTCAAATAACAATTAGAAATTGCACTTTTGAAAGTATGTACTACGATTTCTTAAACACATACTATTCAAATATAACTTTAGAATCATCAACTTTCAAAACATTGTATTCCTACGATTTTCCTTTCTATTTAAGAAATTCAAATTTAACAGTGGAAAATGTCATTTTCGATGATTTATCTCTAGATCTGCTCATATATATCGACTCTGGTTCCTTTCGAATAGCCAACACAAGATTTATAAACAGTGCTCTAAATACTATAACCTATTTTTATTCTGGCTCATCTCAATATCTACAACCAAGTTTTGTTACAAATTGCTCCTTTAGTGATAGTTTTTTCATAAACTATTTCTTTGACCCAGAGACCTATCCCGATAGCTTCAATTACCTTTTTACTATTGAATCAGATATAGAAATGGACCCAGTTTTCCATCTAGTTTTACAGGATATAACTTTTACCAATAATGAAATTTACAGTTTTGGTTTACTTAAATCTATAAACTCTACAAATATTCAAATTTCAATTATCAATACAACTTTACCATTAGATTTTTCAAGAGGGTTCGAAGTTTCAAATAATACAATAAAAATTTTAGATAGTCAATTGGAAACAAATATTACTATACTGGGCTCATATAATATTATTAAGAGTAATAATCTTTTAATCTCAAACGAAACCATCGAATCCTATTTAAAAGATTGTGAAGAGTGTATATTTTTATTTGATATTCCCGAAGAGGATTCAAGCAATAGTAGTAGCAGTAGTGATAGCGGCAGTCATGATAGTAGCAGTCATAGTAGCACCAATAATAATTCAGAAAGTAGTATTGAAATAATAGAAAAATCAAAATCAAATACCGGTAAAATTATTGCAATAGTTGTTCCAATCGGATCATTCATTGTAATAGGTTCTGCAATTACATTATTAATAGTAATGTATAAAAAAAGAAATAAAAACAATGATATTGAACTAAATAATAAGGATAATTTTACAAACTACTTGGGATCAAGTGAAACTTCAGGTGATAAAGATGCAGAAAAACCCACAAAAAAATCACTCAATGTATTTGGGAAAAAAGTACAATCAGAATTGGATTAACTAAAATAAATAAATTGTTTTTAAAATATTATAACATTATAATTTTAATTCCTTAAAAAACAAAGTTAAAAGTTAACAGTTTTTAAAGAAATAAAATAACTTATTTTTTTTTTTTTTTTTTTTTAAAAAATGTTTTTTATTTTTAATTTTTTTTTTTTTTAATTTTTTTCTTGGAGTCCAAAGAAGAAAAACGAAATTTCTTTATTTATATAAATTCTTTTTTATGTGTATATAACATCGATTTCTTTTTTATTTTTTTTTATATAAAAATGATAAAATTAAAAAATAAAATTTTTATTTTTTTTTTTATCATTTTTTTTAAAAATTTCATAAATTGTTTTGAATATAATTTCAATAGTAAAATAAAATTATACATCGATTTTAGTTCAAAGATAGAATATGAAAATGGGGAATGTGGCGGGTCTGTTGATATCAATAATGCCAATACTACCTACCCACCATGCAAATCATTCGAAGATGCAGGCATAAGATCAAGGCAAGCATTTCAAGTAAACTCAGAGCTTATTGTAGATTCATTAGAAATAATAATTCAAAATATAGATAAAGAATCTCCACCATCAATTCAGATTACAAAAACATTTGGTGATTTTTCAAGATATTGCACCTTTCAAATACTGTTTGAAGATACTTCTATTCACGATTCAAATATATTTATTACAATCGATGGGTCTTTAATATCAGATAAAACTAGGTTTTTTAGGTACTTTTCATTCCAAGATAACTATAATTGTAAAAGGAAATCTGTAACATTAAGAAATCTTTATTTTATTAATTGGTCTGGTTATGCTGTTC